TAGACCCTAAACCCTAAACCCTAAACCCTAAACCCTACCCTAAACCCTAAACCCTAAACCCTAAACCCTAAACATCTTGCCAACCGCGTTCTGACAAGAGCAGCGGTGATCCTCGCGCTGCCAGCAGCGACGGAATCTCCGCCAAGTGTTGCTTCTGAGTTTGATGGTGTCATGTTCGTAGTGTTTCTGCTTCATCGTTCACCATGATGACCCTCATCGTCGTCGTCGGTATCATCATCATCATCATCATCAGCACCACCTCTCTCCTCCGCCTTGTCCCCCTCCTCCTTCTCCTCCTCATCGTCATCATGGTCATGCTCATCGTCATCATCATCACCATCATCATCATAATCTAAATCTTCACCTGCACGTCGCCGCCATCGCTATTACCGTCAGCATCGCTCTCCGCGTTGCTGCTGACATGTTCCTTGCAGTTTGGATGCCACCGATCTTCGGCTTCTTGACATGCCTGCCCTTTGTGTCTTGAGCAGCTGGAAAAGGTACCAAAAAGGGTCTCGAGCGAACCAAGGAGATTCACCAAACCCGAAACCCCAAACCTACGAAGGCCCTTAGCCTCGAAAGAAGGTCTGTTAGCTGGACTAAGGTTATCATGATGGTCCGGTACATGCACCCCGACATGGCGCCCGAACACTACAAGGCCCGCACAGGGCCGAACTCAGATCCGGTTGTCGCCTGGGATCGCTCTGAAGTAGCGTTCTTCTTGAGAATCTGGTATTACTGTAGCTGTTATTCGACCCCGGCCCTAAACCCTAAGTTAATGAAGTCTTATTAAAGGTGGGTATCTTCGATGGAGACCGGATAGAGACAGTCCTGGCATGGTTCCTCCTAGGGCTTCCCTAGAACGGTCCACACTGGGTTTAGGGTTTAGGGATTGAGAAGTTGTAGGGTTGAGAACACCGACTACCATGGGCGTGCCAGTTTAGCCTGAACGATCTCTGCTTGCTTGGGGTGATCGTCGATGTGTTCTCTGTGCTGGCCCAAACTATGAGAGTTCAGGGCTCCAGTCCTGAATCCTGAGCACCGAGCCTTCCTTCAAGGACACGTTCCGCGTTCGGCTTCCGGCCTGTTGAGACAATCAGTGTCGTTTTGCAAAGGAGCCGGGAGCCGCATTGCCCCCTCAGTCTCTTTGTCGGGAGGATTCTAGAAGGGCCCAAACTCGAAAGCCTGTAGGGATTCTTAGGAGTTTAGGGCTTAGTCTAGTGCTTCTTCTGACGGCTCTACAGGAAAGTTAAGGCCGTTGTGCAGCTGTGCTCAAGGGATTGCCTCCTTGTGCCACAGGTTATTTATGCAAACCGGTGCGTACATGCCCATTGCTCCATGGAGATGCAGCATGTTATATCAAGTTATATCTGCTCAGAGAAATTCAGGTTACTCTGGTGAAACTGGCAGTGACCACGAAACGGAGTGTGACGAGAAGCGCACTCGCACCAGCACCAACAACACAAGCAGGACCTCCAACAGTACCAGTATATGACTGCAACCTGATGCCTAAATCCGTAGCCCCCCTAGGTATATACCATTATATACCCTTATATACACTTAATATAGCTATTATATACCCATTCTATAGCCCATTATAGGGTAGGGGTCTCCAAACAGCCTGCATAGCTCCAACTCGAACCCGCGATCTTCTCGGACGGCAGGGCAATTTGCGGACACACTTTGAGGACATTCCCGTCGAGATGCAGTGATGGACCGTTAAATACCGCAGCTGTGGGTCTGAGTTTGGGGGTGAGGGGTTGGGGAGCTCATGCGGGGCCATGCATGGTTTAAGCCTTCTTGAACACTCTGATAAATAAACCTTCAAAGACTCAACCCTTATAAAACCCTTCCCTGCCAAAACCTTACTGAGACCCTAGCCCGACAACTGAAACTCAGGATTCAAAAGATGCTGCCTAAACCCATGTAATCGTAGCAGTTCTTTTTATGTTGGGTTTTCATTTCTGGATGCCTTAACAGAGAAAACTTCGGATGTAAACCGCCCTGTTCAATCTATTGAGGCTCTGATAGTCTGATAGTAAACCCAACAATGGCTCACCAAACCCTTACTGTAGCCCTGGGGTTGGGGGATTAGCGGTTTGTGGCTTTAGGGCCTAAGGATTAGGTTAAGGGTTTAACAGTGGTTCAGGGTTTATGCTTGTATAATAAGCACAGAGCGTTGGCTTAGTCCACGACTGTTCTCAGACCACAGAAGTGATGCCGACCTGGTTGGTGTCGAGACAGCTCCTGTTCTCGGAAGTTGGTGCAACCGCCCAAGCCTTAAAGACACAGATTCGTTTGAATTTCTGACTCGGACTACGTAAGACGGAACACTCAACACTATAGAGTTGCTCAGCATGTTCTTGTCGGTGTCATTTCACGGTTCTCATTGTCTGAGTACTTTGTATCGAAATAGTCTCAGCAACATCGATGTTGCTGTTCCCATCATGCGCGCTGTCTTCCTTGCTCGCGGCTCAGAGCGTGCAAGCTTTTACAGATTTGCCGCTATGATGGTCAGCACGACTACTCCTATTGCAGTACCGCTGCTGCTCCTGCTTCTGTTCCTGCTCCAGTTTCAACACCGGCACCAGCACCACCACTGCTGCGACTTGCGCGACTGCTACTTGTAAGTACAACTGTTTCGACCACGGCTACGTCCGCGAATACCGCTGCTGCTGCTGCTGCTGCCGCTCGTGCTGCGTGTGCTTCCACAGGTCCACCACTGCCAGCACCACGACCATCACCACGGCTACACTTGCTGTTGCCACGGCTGCCTGCTCTTGCCGTTTCGTTGCTGCTGACATTCCTGTACGAATCTCTACTAGAAGTACCAGCTGCGGCTGCTGCTCGTGATGATGTCCGCTCTAGTACGACGGTGCCATGTAAGCATGTTTATCCAGATTGAACTGGCTTGTTGGTGTCTAAGCTCGGCGTTCTTCCGGTTGGCTCTCAGGACTTTACCTTTCGGGGTTTCTATATGAACCATAATAAGGAGGCTAAAGGTTTAACTTTTAGGAGGGTTCAGAAGTCAACCAAGTAAGTACCTCTGCAGTCGTCGCTGCCACCGGCACTGGCATTGCCAGCTCTCCGGGGCTTTCGAAAGAGAATGGTCTCCAACTTCCCGGTTGCTGGGAGCGTCAGACAGCCTCTCGCAAAGGCAGAGCAAAATTGGACTCGTCATGTCTTTTTGATTTGGCATCGGAGTTACCTGAAACATGGTTGAGACCTGAACCCTCAGACCCACGACATTGACCCAGACCCCAGAGAGTCCTGAATCAAGGAATAGCAAACACCGCGCATAGATCGAGGAAGCGTCGTTCAGAATAAAGGGATATTGGGCTGTCGATGATCGGTGCAGACGACCTGTCTCCCAAAAGGAGCTGAAGTCCAAAGGAACGTCAGAGAGGGAGAGAGGGAGAGAGAGAGAGAGAGAGAGAGAGAGAGAGAAAGAGAGAGGGAGAGAGAGAGAGGGAGAGTGAGAGAGTGAGAGAGTGAGAGAGTGAGAGAGTGAGAGAGTGAGAGAGTGAGAGAGTGAGAGAGTGAGAGAGTGAGAGAGTGAGAGAGTGAGAGAGTGAGAGAGTGAGAGAGTGAGAGACAGAGAGCGAGGGAGGGAGGGAGGGAGGGCAGGAGAGGGAGAGAGAGACAGAGAGAGAGAGAGAGCGAGAGAGAGAGAGAGAGCGAGAGAGAGATTGAAAAAGAGAGAGAGCAACCCTATAATCCTGAAACCTTAAGCCCACAAACCCAAACCCCTGAACCCTCGTACCAGCTTTCGGCCCACAAGACGGGCGGGCCTAGAGGGCACGAAAGGCTGTGGCCTCTATGGTCCGGGCCCCAGAACGGGAGAGGTACGCATGTTGCTCACTCTGACTCTCTCTCTCTCTCTCTCTCTCTCTCTCTCTCTCTCTCTCTCTCTCTCTCTCTCTCTCTCTCTCGGTCGTATGTGCACACTTATATATATATATATATATATATATATATAATATGTATGCATTGTATCATACGTGTGTGTGTGTGTGTTTTGTACAGATGTGGGTCTGTAGTTTGTATGTGTACACACTTTGCCGCGCATCATGTATCAGAGATCCGTCACCTTACAACATTTACCATCCGGCTTTTGGTATAAATCTCACACACCATACATCATACGTATGTGAGTATGTACTTGTCTACTTGTTTACACATCGAGAGAGATAGAGAGAGACTGAGAGAGACTGTGTGTGTGTGTGTGTGCGTGAGCGCATGCATATTTCCCCTTAGCGCTTTAGTCCGTTCTCGAACTTCCGTTGTCACATGGCAGAGATCTCTTAACAAGATGTGTTGTGATGTGCATGTTTCTTGGCTGTTCCGGTTTAAGAAGAAGCACGTCGAGAAGGCATGCAACGGGCCTGTGACAGACCTACCGGATAAAGTCATCCTGAACTCTCAACTCCCCAAAATCTCCTTGACCTTGGAGCTCAACCCCAAAACTTGTCCCTACACCGTCTTGAACCCAAACCCTGGCCCGATCCACTTAGAATCAGCTCGGTTTTGGATGCGACCGACAGTGCCAGAGTTAGTCTCCTGGAGCCTGAGTGTTAGACGAACAAATTTCTTGGAGTATAAAGCCGAACAGAAGAGCATCTTTGACATTGATACAGGCAACTCTCTTGCTTTTTGAACCTTCTCCACTTTCGCTCAGAACCTTGGTTACAGCTTCTTATGCTGTATTCTGTTATATTACGTTGGATTTGGTTACCTTATCTCAATGTAATCATAATCTGAAATCCTAGACCCCAGAACCCCACAGACCCCAGAACGCAACCCCCTCCCCTGTGCCGCTCAACCCCAAGCAGTAAACTCTCCCCCACCCCCGATCTTGAAACGGACCGTCCCGAAACTAGGCCCAATCCTAGTCCCTACTCCAGAAAGCTTTACAAAGCCCTCAGAAAATGCTTCTCAGATCCCTTACCAAGCTCAATGATCTCAATGAAACCTTGTCTATCTGAAGGTCTTCCGGTAGAATGCAGTCGAGGTGGAGAAGGCACGAGATGATTCATGGGGGGTTGGTTTGTTCAGAAGTGCTTTTGAGAAGGTTTCTTTCAAGGATTTCGGACAGGGGTTCCTTTCTATTAGAGGGTTCCTCTTACGGTGCCTCTGAGGGGTCGAAGAGAGTTCTCTGGTCAGGGTTTTAGGATGATGAGGGGATTCTGAAGACACATAGTGCCTTTTCTCTCAGGGTTCTGTGGGTGTTTACATGTGGTATAGCAGGAAGGGGCAGCACAGCCTATGTGCCAAACGAAGCACAACGACATTGAAGGGCTTCAAAGGCATCTGGCAGCAAAACAGGTTCTTTGCTGGTGACGGTTGCCTCAACCAAAGCCTGGAATGTAGGTTCGGCGTCCCGTCTTTGCGGTTGCTGGTGCTAGCAGACGTGTTGTGTCGTTGTTGCTGTTTTCGCTCGTACTAGCATGACCATGCATATAATCTACAGCCTCCATTTCAAAACGAATTTGGTGCCATTTCCTGGCTCTCACTGACTTTGTAGCTTCGTGTACGAGAGACCCGCCGTTTCGCTGTTTCTCATCGTGCTTATTGTTCATTGTATTTAGCGCTATCGGCTCTCGCCAGCGAAAAATTCCCGTTCTCGCCACACCCACAACCGTCTCCCAAACACCCAGAAGCCAGTGCCTGAAAACGTCAGCCATAAGCCGAAGCCCCAACAGTTTAAGCCAATAGTACTTTCCGTAAATAAAGGACTCTTTATAAGAACCCTCAAGGATCCCATACAGGCTGAAGGCTTAAACCCCAGTTTGGGTTTAGTGTTTCACCGAGCATCAAGCACAGGCTCGAGTACGGAGATGGGCCGGCGGCCTTCCCCAGGCCCAGAAACGGACTTTGGCAGTTCTCGAAATGAGGGTCGCTTTCAGGTTCCCTTTTTGGTATGGGTGCCGTATTGTTTTGGGGACTTCAGGGACCCTAATCTAGAGAACTACCCAGGTAGGCCGCGGGCGGAAGGCTGTTGTTTGTATACTCTGATACATGTATGGGGGGGGCAGGGATAGATAGTATTGCCTGTTTGCAGTTCCCAACGATTGGTCTTCTTTGGTATCGACTTCGTATATGTGCTCACACGACAAGCTGTTGCAGAACCACCACCAAGGCCAGCGCGGCCCGCAACGCCATCAGCACCACCTCCAAAAACTAGATCAAGCAAAGGGCGGCCAGATTGACGTCATGACAGCAACAGCAGCACAATCCGAATCATTCTTCGTGTTTCGATGGCATCGATGTTCTGGCTGTTGGTATGGAAGCAGCTGAGGCGGCTGATGCTGCTGCTTTGTTTGATTCGCCCAGCAACACATTCCAACTCTGAGAGCAATCAATCAGTCAACGTGAGCACATCGAATAGCAAAGCAGTTACTGCAAATTGAAGAACACTCTCTACCCCAACGGTCGCCCTCTGCCGCACTTAGAGATTGCCCTGTCAAGGGAACCCACTCCGTTGGCTGCCCTTCATGTACCCGGAGGCAGTGGCAATATGGGGCCTTAAGAAATAGAATAGGCTTCTTGGGGGTATAATATATAGTATAATTGTGTGTGTGTGTATATATATATATGTATATGTAATATACACATATAATCACTCCTTATGGCTCACAGATTGCTTGCTTGTTACTACTTGCTAACAGATTCTAATCTCATGTTCCTTAAAACTACTACAGTTACTGGAACCGGGCTTTAGGGTTTAGAGTTCGGACGTCCAGGCTTTGGGCCGTTGTCAAGCAGTTGGCTCGTGCTTAATGATTGGACGTGTTGGGGTGCGAAGGCCAGTTGTGTAATATAGGGGCCTTACTAATTGCCGATCCTATTGTGGGGGTTCCCTATTATGATCATAGTATAATGTGCCCCAATACCCTATTCTAATTATTAAGGCCCCTATATTCGGGCACTGCCTGGCAAAAGAGATGGGGGTTCAGCTAGAGGATGAAGTTCGCATTTCAAGAAGCAGGGCCGCCACAAGACCTGGCGAGAGAATCCACATCGCCTGCACATGAGATGGGTCGTGAGCTACGTTTTCGGATATCTGAACTCAGACTCGAAGCAAGCGGTTCCAGTGTCGAGTTGGTCAAGGGGTCACCGAACTTGGCATCCAAATCAACAGAGGCACTGACGCACTCGTCACGACTAGAGCGAGTCTGTCCATGGGGCATAATCAGAAGCATCGCATTGGGGTAAGGGCAAGGTCAGCGGCATCCTTACGTCTGTGCCTCATGCTCATCTTATGCCATTTCCAACACTCGCAGTCAATTCTTCAGGAAGTGCAAGAGCAGTTTACACAGTGCACTGCAAAAATCAAAAGCACAGTAAGCAATGATAGCATGTGAACGCCATGGTCTGTATTACGTCGTTCTTGGTTGCATGTCGATGGTATGCGCGAAGACCCGTCCCATGTCAAGCATACAAAGCAGTACCTAATGCGATCAGGCTTCAGATGCGTCGGTATTTTGCATAAAGTCCTCCAAGATCACAGTCCAATGCGACATTTGGACCTTGTGCGGCAACTTGTGCGGGGCCACTAATTACATCCAGCAGATGCCTGCGCCGTAGGCTGTTGGGGGGTCTTGGGAAAATGAGGATGGGTTTAAGGCGAAGGGCGCACTTGTTCATCGGCGCACAAAGGCATCCCGGAGTTGCTTGGGCTGAGAAGCAGTTCAAGTTCAGAATTACAAGCCCTACGTATAGAGTAAGGAGGTCGGAGCAATGGTAATCATGTGCCTGTAGCGTCCACTCATAGGTTTTCGTAAGAACATAGCATAACAGTACCAAGCCTCCAACACCCTATCCGAAGTCACAAGGCCCCTGCAAGAAACTGCACCGTAAACCCCTAAACCCTAAACCGAATCCTCTTCGCAGGCTCGGATGTCCTCTTGACGGCTGTCGCCTTAGCAGCCTCTGTTCCTCCGAGCATGTGAGTGACATCGATAAGGATTAGGGCTTGGGGCTTGTATTATGTATGGCTTTGGGCTTATATAGGGTTTTAGGTTTTATAGGGCATTGGGGTTCAGGATTTAGGGAATGTATGCGCCTTAATTGTTGGACCAGTGTGTCTGGGGGCGGGAGCGGCGTTGTCCTGCGATTATACTTCGATTACATTCCGGAGCCCTCCAGAATGCTAGTCGTTCCGATCTCACTAAACTCTAAATCCGAAACTTTTCCAAAACCTCAATCTCTCAGCCCTAAATCCTAAATATAGTCAGCTTTTCAACTTAAATCCAAAACCTTGACTGCTATAAGTGGAGCTGCTGCAGTTTGGAAACAAGACCACACCCTCAAATCCCAAATCTGAAAACCCATACCCTTTAAAACCCCAAACCTTAAATCCTAAACCCTAAAACAATAAAGAATACCTAAACAAGCACCCCCAAACACTAAATCCTAAATCCCACATCTCCGAGCCCGGAGCCCAGCTTTCGTGGCCCAGGTGGGAGGCTCTTCCTCGTCGACGTCCCGCGTGAAGGTCGACTAACCCTAGGGATCTAAAGGGAACTCCAGAAAGTTGGAATATGGATTAATGGTAGGATCCCCTATAATTTACCTTAAAGGGGTTACGATAATGATATTCCAACTTTCTGGCTTCTACTGTAAGGACTCATCTATTAAGGCCTTTGGGCCCACAGACCGTGCCATGTGAGGGTCTTGGGCTATTTTGATCCCTAGACTAAGCTTTGTCGTTTTGTTTTTCAGGTGTTGGGGGGGAAGGGTTCCCTGAAAGGTTCTGTTCAGTTTCCTCGTTAAAGGGTTTAGGGTTTAAGGGTTTAGGGTTTAGGGTTTAAGGGTTTAGGGTTTAGGGTTTAGGGGCTCCTCCCCAGCAGCCGTATGCACTTGCAGGGAAGCAGTCTTCAGGCTTGCCGTGAGCCACCGTCGATTCCTTACTGAAGGGTTCATTGGATGCTCTGGGCGAACTGTTTTTTTTGCAAGGCCCTGGCAAGAACCCATAGCAAGAAGCCAACAAACCATGTGACAACATACAAAACCTGTCTACCACCTGGATGCATCCCTCAATTATAATTACAACCCTGAGAAATCATCTCTTGAATCCTTAACCTTATTCATTCTAAATTCTAGACTCCTTACACCTTCAATCCCTAGCCGGGAACGTTGTAAAGGAAGCCACCAAAAACGCTTGAGAACTCTAAACTTTAAACCCATAAAACAGCCTTTGAAAGCCAGCAAACCCTGTCAGATCCCTTAAAGGGAACCCTAAACGGAACCCTTTAAAGGAACCCTAAACGGAACCCTTTAAAGGAACCCTAAAATGGAACCCTAAACGGAACCCTTTAAAGGAACCCTAAAATGGAACCACTAATCGGAACCCTGAACCCTCAAGCCTTTTCGACCCCTAAAAGGAACTATGAACCCAAACCCATAAAGCAGCCAATCAGATCCCTTTCAGCAATCTTTTAAGGCACCTCAGAAGGAGCCCTTGAAAGGAACCCCAAACAGGAAACTCTAAAAGGACACCGACAAGGAGCCGCCCCTAAAGGCAAGCTTAAATGAACCTTGAGGCCCTAAAGTCATAGGGACCCTTAGGGGTGTAGGGGGAGGGGGGGTAGGGGGCCTTAAGGCCCATAATAAGGACTAATAAGGCCTATTTAAGGAAATATAGTCCCCTACACCCCTCCCCCCTACACCCCTAAGGATCCCTATGATAAAGCCTAAGCCAAAGGAGGGCCAAGCCCTTGCAGCCCAAGATTTCGAAGAGCTGCTTGTAGGCGGAGGTGCTCCCAAGGGCCTAGCGCTTTGATGGCTCCTTAGGCTTTAGTAGTGTTCCTTCTAGGGGTTCCGTTTTTGAAGGGCTCTTTTGCAAGTGTTTAAGGTTTAATTATAGGGTTGACAGAGTTTGTCAAGTTCGATAGGGTTTATAGGGTTTAGGGTATTACGGCTTAAAGGTTGTTTAAGGGTTCTCCTAAGAGTGCGCTCATGTATCGAGGTTAGTATCAAATTTTGAATAGAGCTTAGGATTTAGGATCTGTTTTTTTAGGGATCGTAGGGTTCTTCTCAGAGCTCAGTGATTTCTTTAAGGGTTCTACAGGAAAGGGTTCCCAGAAAGGTTGGGTGTAAGGGTTCTTTTTGGTATCCCCGAGGTTTTTATGTCTTACAGGTTCTGCTTAATATGAGGACTCTAGAGCTCTTAGGGTTCTTCCTTTAGGGCTGAGGCCAGTAAGGTTTCTATGAGGAGGTTGGGCTCTAGGGATTAGAGTTCAGGGCTCGGCGAAATGAAGGGTTGGGTTTTAAGTTCTAAGGGTTCCGGTAAGGGTTCTGCAAGTTTTGGGGTTTAGGGTTCCATGGTAAGGACCTGTTTTCTAGAGGTGTGGGGACTTAAGGTTGCGGATTAAGTGTTTTGTCTGTAAGCTGTGCATGGGGCTGCAGCTACTCCGGCCATGTTCTTGGCCCTCCTGGCATCGACGGAGGATCCGACGATGATGAATGCATGGCTCGCGGCTCACCCCCGGTTGCCAAGGCTCTTCAGCATGCGGTGGGCTTGTGCAGAATTGAGAAAACTGAGTTCCCCAATACCCAACCTTTAAACTTTTTGGGTTCTTATAGTTTAGTAGTGACCAGAAAGTTTAACCTTCTATATCTGTGGCTTATAGGGGAAGTAAGAAATTGTAATTATCATAATAGCCAGACGCGGCTTGTTCTGCGGACCAGCGGCCCGGATGTGGAAGAGATAGTAATCAAGCACTTTGAGGCTGCGAGCATCTTTGAGCACGTCGTGCCTAGACCGCAAGGGTGGCTGCCGAAGGAGGCTCAAAAGCTCTTGGACCAGTGAGCCCAAGTGTTTGTGATTAGCCTTTACCGTTGGGTGTCGGCACACAGTGCTGGGACTGTAATTATGAATGAGTGTAGCACTCTGTGCCGCTGGCTGCTGGCACTGCGACGTCCTCTGGGTGTATCCAGCCATAGTGACAAGAGGCTTGCCCTCTTTCTCCCTAGTCCTGCTTTCCTCGTGGTTTTGTTGTGTGGACTCAGTGGAGTGCCGTAAAAGAAGAAGATTTCCAGAGTCCTGATTACAAAGTGGAATCACCCTGAATCCCAAGCACCACAATACTATATAGCTGACCCTAAATCACCAAACATGCCCAAAATCGCGAACCCCACACCCACCCCACCACCCGCGCATCCCGAAAGACATAAAAAGGAATAACAAGAAAGCCTTGCCCTGCCAGGTGAGGTCGCGACCGACTGTTGGTCTGCACCGCTCTCTGGGGTGCCTTGGCACGGGTTTAGGGTTTACGGGGTGGTTGTGGGTTTAGGGTTTGAGGGTTGGGTGTTTAGGGATTTCGATTGCTGGGTTCTTTAGGGTTGAGGGCTTGAGGGGATTAGGGTGCTGGAAGCTAGCGACGGAAAGCGTCGTCGTCAGGATTGTCGTCGCCGGCGGCATGGAGGTAGGTAACCAACTCATTGCATCAGAGTTTACTCCTTGTTGGAAGACTCTTCGTCGCCCACAAAACCACAGTTGTGATCGGGGCCTAAACAATTGGCAATACTACTTCGGGGCTCCTTACTACAAGTATAGTATGAAACGCTCCATAAGCCCTCTTCTAATTCTAAGGCCCCTCTATCATAGAGCCCTTTATCTTTATAGAACCCTTCAAGAGGAGCACCAGTTTTGTTATCCCTTACCTCTACCTCTACCCTAAACCCCTAAACCCTCAATAACCCCTAGACCCCCAAACGACTAAACCCTAAACCCTTAAACTCTAAAAACCCTAAACCCTAAACCCTCAAAAACCCCCAAACGACTAAACCCGAAACCCTGAACCTCGCAGATGGTGGGATGGTTATTTCTGAGATGTAGTTGAGCGCCGACTGCTGGCAGACGTAAAAGTCAACTCAACTTTAAAAAAAAAAGAACCCTTAAACTCTAAACCCCTAAACCCCTAAACTCAAACCTCCAAAACCAGAAAGCCCTCGAGCCTCTGCTCATCTCAGGGCGGTTTTGAGCGATCGGTTCTCGCCTTCCCTCCGAAGCCGCGGTTTGGCTACAGCCTGACGCCTCTGGATCAGGTGGGATAGGGTTTAGGGTTTTTTTGGGTTTTTTGGGCTAGGACAGGGTTTAGGGTTTTTTGGGTGGTTTTTGGGCTAGGGTTTGGGGGTTTAGAGTTTCTGACACGTCTGGATCAGGCGGGATAGGGTTCAAGGTGTTGGGGGGGGTTTCCGGCTTAGGATTTCAGGATTTTTTTGGTTTAGGCATAACATTTAGAGCAGGTGCAGTTTTTGGGGGTTTGGGGCTGTGGGTTTTGTTTTGAGATGTTTAGGGTAGTGTTTGGGGCACACAGGGCTTCGGGATTGTTTGGCGATATTGGGCCTAGGGTTTGCAGCTTTGGGCTGAGGATTTAGGGGACGTTTAGGGTTTAAGCTTCGCCCAGTAACGGGAGGCATACTTCTGGTGATCATGACGATGCTCATGATGACGAGCCCGACACCCCAAAGTACATCACGTTTACAACCGGAACCGCTCTAGTCTTTCAGCGCCAAGCCATGAAAAGCTCAAACTGTAAAAACAAATGGGTGGTTGTCAGAACTAGGGTCCCGTTTTGGGTACCCTAAATAATAGGTGCCGTACTATAATAAGCCCTAATTTTGACAACCACCCAAATGACTCTAGGCCACCGACCCCACGATCCTCTGCAACCGACGCCTAACCCTGAGCCCCAAACTTCCGAAACAGAACTTCCAGAACCCTGAAGCCGTATGAATCCGAAACCCATCCAAACCTACATCTACCGCGTAAACCTTCGTTCCAACTATCTGATCTATCTGAAAGAAATCGTATAGAACACTGGAGTACATCGTGCAGGACCCTGCAACTGAAATTGTGGGAATCCTAACCCTCAACCCTAAACCTCAAACACCCTCAGCCCCTAAGCCCTAAACCCTAAGCCTTAAAACCTAAAGCCTAAGCCCTAAACCCTAAGCCCCCAAGCCCCTAACCCCTAAACCCTAAACCCCTAAACCCTAAACCCCTAAACCCCTAAACCCCTAAACCCTAAGCCCCTAAGCCCCTAAGCCCCTAAGCACCAAGCCCGGCCCAGATGTCAGGGCGGGGGTCGACTCCTCCTCTTCGGTGGCCATACCGGCCGTCCAGGATCTGGCCGGTGTGCCTTGGATGAGAATGCTGTAAATATAGGGGGCCTGAATATGCCTGAATAATTATAGGGTTCCTTTAAAGGGGTCTATAAGGGATCCATAGCAGGGTTCTAGATCAGGGTCCCTCAATACTTCACCTACACTATTTTGGTGGGTTCTTTATTATACTTGTAGTAGAATGGGCCCCCACCGCTGATGAATTCGGAGCTTGCTGGGCCGCACACCCGGGCTCAACCCTGCTTCATGCGATTTGCGGGCCTCCATGTACCCTACTCAACAGCATTCCCCAAGCTTTGTTCCGAGGCCCTTTCTCCAAACCCCTGAATCCTCAACCCGGACCTAAGCCCCAAGCCCAAAACCCTGAATCCTAAACTCCAAAGACAGACCCTAAACCGCAAACTCCAAACTCTGAATCCTAATGCTTTGGGGGGCTCCTTATAGTAGTATCATAGTAGAATGTGCCCCAAAAGCCCTATTCTTAACCTTAAGGCCCCTATATTAAACTCCAAAGATGAAGTCCGAAGCCCCGAGTCCGAGGTTTGTCAGACCTCCATGTGATCGAGCTTCCAGAGAAGAGTGCTCCTTCTAAAGACGTGGAGAGGACGTTTGGGGTTCAGGGTTTAGGGATTCAGGGTTGGGGGTTGAGGGGTTTGGGGGTTTAGGGGTTTAGGGTTAAGAGTTTAGAGTTGTTTTGGGGTTTAGGGCTAAGGGTTAAGGTTTCTAAAGACGTAGAGAGGACGAGACCTAGGGTTTTGGGGTTTAAGGTTTAGGGTTAAGGTTTCTAAAGAATAGAGAGGCCGGGACCTGGGGTTTAGGGTTTAGGTTTCTGAAGATATGGAGAGGACGAGACCTGTGACATGGAAAGGGATAGAGGCCTGAATAATGAGGGTTTAGGGCTCTCCATGGTTCTACTATAGCACCCCAAATCCAATTTTTCTTCAGGCCGACTACTTTGTAATGAGGGGTTTAGTACTCGGAATTATAGTTTTCGGTGTTAAGGTTTCTGGCGCTTCGAATTTGGGGCCTGTAGGTCCGTACCGTAGGTGTTGAGTTGTGGATTCCGGGTTTGAGACATGGGGTTCAGGGTTTTGGGTTCAGGGCCTGGGGATTCAGGGCTTGGGATTTGAAGGTTTAGGTTCAGTGTTCCGGGCCCGGTCAAGGCGAGCGGGCCCCCGATGCCCGCCTCTTTCCGACCGCGTCATTGACGACAACGCCCCAACGCCTCCGGGCGGCAGCGTGCGGTCCCAGCCGAGCTGGAACCCACGCAGAGGCCCAAGCCCTGGCGTCAACTGGCATGGCGGCGCACCGCCCCAGCCGCCGGAGTCGCTGACTGGACTTCCGGCCCCATTTGCCGGTGAACGTTACAGTGTTTCACCGTATACGGTCAGCGACCTGGGGAAACTTACCAGGGACGACATTCAACTCCTTTCAGATTATTTGGGTTACCCCAAGAAAAGACACCCCCAAAACATTTGGGAGGCAGTGTAATGCGATTTACTCAATCTCCGTCCTTCAGTTTAAGCATAATTACGGGTTCTACATCGGGCCGGTGGACTGTGGCGTGCAGGATCCGCGACTCAAGACGATGGTGGTTGGTGAGAACACCTGTCCCCCCAAGTAGGCATATCATAAGTTGCCCGTTAAACTACGATCCGTGTAAGTTCGTGAGCTTATTCCCAAATCTAGCAGGATGTTTAGAAATCTGAGAGGTTGTATCAAAGCGTAAGAGCCATGATGCCTTAGACATGTATGTAAGTTCGAAGGAGCGCCGCTGAAAAATCTGCAGCCGTCTAGAAGCCCCTGGCTCGAGAAAACTTGAACCAACCGTTTAAAAGAACCCACCAACAAAAGAACTCATTTAAAGTTACCCTCTAAACCTCAAACCCGAAACCCTAACTATAAATCCCGTATACCTCCTTGGAAGCACCCCTATAAACCCTTCTACATCCCAACACCCTGTGCATCCCTATGCACCCAAACCTGATCCGCATGTGGTTTTGGATGGGTTTAGCATTTAGGGGCTTTAGGCTTTGTTGCTTCGGCGGGCCCTTGCCGACACGAATCCCCACCTCTTGTTGCAGATTCCAGTCCCAAACCTCCTTGAAGTTGGACTTAGATACCGCCTTGGTAAGTGTATCTGGGGATCCTTACTATGTACATTGTTGAGAGTTTAGGTAGGGATTTATTCTGGGGATCCTTAACCCAAAACCCTAAACCCCTAAACCGTAAACCCTCCACCCCTAAACCCTAAACCCCTAAGCCCTAAACTTAAACCCTATAACCCCTAAAGCCCTAAACCCTATAACCCCTAAAGCCCTAAACCCTATAAGCCCTAAACCCCTAAACCCTAAACCCCTAAACCCTACAGACCAGAAGCTCTACGTGGCCAGAGGAGACCGGACTCTGATTCCGGCACAGAGAGCGAGGCGAATGGGAAACAGGGGCCCTGAGGGCTTGGGATGCAGATTTCAGTTTGGGGTTTAGGGTTTAAGGGTTAAGGGTTTGGGGTTTAGGGGTTTAGGGTGTAGGGGTTTAGGGTTTAAGGGTTTAGGGTTTAGTCAAGCATAATGCTTAAGGCTTAAGATTTCAAGCATACTACAGACCTTTACTATTTTAGGGGTTCCCTCTCACTATCTTTGGGTATAAAGGGTCCCAAAACCCTTTCTAGTTATTAAGGCCCCTATAGTAACGGTTTCGGGCTTCGGATCTCTGGTTGAGATCTTCGGTTTAGGGTTATGGTTTAGAGTTTATGGTTTAGCTACCGCTTCTGCTACTTCTACTGCTACTGCAACCGCTACTGACGACGACTACTACGAGGCTGCTACAAATACTGCTGCTGCTGCTGCTGCTGCTGCTGTTGTTGCATCGACGACTACTGCTCCTACTTCTACTCCTACTCCTACTCCTCTTACTACTACTACTACTACTACTACTACTACTTCTGCTGTCCTCTACAACAGCAGTCTTCGGAGGAGGAGGACATCTTCTTTGCCTCCAACTATCGTGCGGCCTGCGGGGCTCTGCGCTTAATCGGGCAGTCCGCTCGGGGTTTGGGGTTTAGAGTTTAGGGTTTGGGGGTTAGGGTTTGGGGGTTTAGGGTTTGGGGTTTGGGGTTCGGGGTTTGGGGTTACGAGGTCTGGACATCTGTGTTTCAAGCGCTTCTGAGCTATATAACTTGCTGCGAGATGCTGGGGATAGCGTGCAGACATTAGCCATACCTCTCCGGTCCAGGGAATGCAGTGGTAGAAAAAAGTATAATGCAGGTACTCGTAGAATAAAACTGACAACAGCAAACATACATTATCAGCCTCGCAGCTACATAACCATCACTACCAGTCACAATGTGAAGAGCAACCATGGCGGTAGAGGTAGTATCGGCACAGTTCTTGCGCTGTGCAAAGTAGAAAGTGGCTAGATGATAGCCTAAGGGCCTGTCGACTCCAAACGAGAAGCAGACGTCAAAGCCCGAATCCGCTAAATCCTCGTGTGTGCTGGCTGCTTCGCTATGAATGCCACTTTGGTCCCCACAACCAGGGCTGTTTAGGTTCTTTTTCTGTGATTGCTTTATGCTGAAGGTGAAGCATTCACGGCTGTAGGGTTCCCTTGCGTGGACGCTTACAAGAAACAATCCTAGTTCTCAGCCGAGCTTGTCAACCTTGGCCATGATCTTACTTACAAACCGTGCACATTCTCAGCACTATTCCTGAGCTGAAGGAGCCATTCCTGCAACGCGACTGGCAATAGCAACCTCTTGCCGTTTTGCCTTCCTATGCACGTAAGCTGAAAGTACACACCCGAAGCTAGCGGCTAGCGGCTCTCTTCGGTTTACCACGCTCAGCCTGAAACCTTGCTGAGTCTGCCGTCGCTGCGGCGACGCTGCTGTCGACGGAGGCCACGTGGGGTCTTTTGGAATAATTTTCTGCCCATCGCCCAACATGCGCAACAGAGTAGACGAAGCAGGGCAGCAGTCCACGTCCCAAAGCCGTTCATGTCAGTAGCACTATAGCAGCTGGAAGAAGCATCCAGCTGCCGGCCTTGCAATGCCTGGTGCAACAGCAGCAGCATCACAGTGCTACCGGGTGGTGGTGGTGGCGGTGGTGCTGGTGCTGCTGCTGTTGTTGTCGTCTGTCTGATGAACAAGAGGTCGTAATTGTGGGTCTGTGGTGGTCGTGGTCGCAGTCGTTGTCGTGGTCGTCGCAGCAGCAGCAGCAGCAGCAGCAGCAGCAGCAGCAGCAGCAGAGCAGCAGCAGCAGCAGCAGCAGCAGCAACAGCAACAGCAGCAGCAGTACAGCGAGTAGTGGTAGTAGTCGTCGTCGAAGAAGTCGTCCACGTGGTTTTCAATTGCATGGCCACTGGAAGTTCGCTTGTCGAAGGCTGGAGCAGCAGCGTCCAAACGTCGAGGCACGAAGCTGTCGGCACGAAACGACATACCTAAACCCCAGGCTGCGTTTAAACCTTCCGAAAGGCTAGGCCCTAGACAAAGCTGTTTAGGTTTAGGGCTTGGGTTTAGGATTCAACAACTGTCGAGCAGAGGTATTGCTGAGGCAGTTGCTAAGTCCATGTCGAGCAGCCCTTGCCCATGCAAAGTCTGCTTTGGAAAGGAAGGCATAGCAGCAAGTCCCAAACCTTGAACAAGTCCCTAAGCGCTAAACCCTGACACCCTCAGCCCTTACACCCTAAACCCGATTCCTTTTTGCGCCTATACCTCTCGAAGCCTTGACTGCTAAGCCCTTAACCACCAGAAGCCCTCCCCTACCCTAAACCCTAAACCGTCTACTACCTGGACCTCAAACCTGTAACCCCCAAACGCATGAACCCCCTATTCTCAAGAAGATCTGCAGTCGAGCTGCGAGTCCCAAGCCGTGCAACCCAGGATTTATTGGTCTCAGGGTTAGGGATATATATGTGTGTATATATATATATATATATATATATGTGTATATATGTGTGTATATATATATATATATATATATATATATATATATATATTTCTACACATGTATATATACATATATGTATAATGGCTGGCAGGATTTGAAGCCGAGTCCTCTGACGATGAGAACGATGAGACGGCCAGGAGCCGCGGATGCAAGAAACCCCAACCCTCAACCCAGGGTTCAGGGTTTAGGGTCTAGGGTTTAGGGTTTAGGGTCTGCTCCAAAGTAGTTCTTTTTTGGGGATACCTTATAGGATTCTAAATATGAACCCCGAAAAGGAACTACTATGGAGGTTTAGGGTCGAGGGCCCTGCCACTGCCCTAAACCCTGCAAACCCGAGCAGCCATCCGAGCAACAAGCCTTCCAAAAGCCCTCGAACTCCGGTTTACACCCGGAGCCCGAAGAAAACCCTAAACCCTAAATCCCTAAACCCTAAGACCCTAAGCCCTGAGACCCTAAACCCTAAGACCCTAAAGCCCAAATCCCTGCAACCCAGCCATGAGCCCTGAAGCCCGAGACTGTGGTCTCCTCTCACATAAAGCCCCTAGAGAATATTTACTTAAGACCATTATTTGTATCGTGGTTCTTAGAGAATACTAACTAAGACTATTATGGTTCTACGGGGGGGGGTATAGTGGAAGTATAGCAATAAGATAGAGCTTAGCTGAGTTTTCCGACTCTTGGCAGCTGCTTCCAGGAGTGCGTTTCCGAAGCGCGCCCTGCCCTGCACCACGGAGGATGTCCTGGCGAAGATGGGTTCCACTCAGGTGCGGGGGTGACTTCTGATAGAAAGTTATCCGGTTATACTCACGTAGTAAAAAACAACTAGTGACAGTAATCTTATTCTGATCAGTACGTGTTATTATGATTGTATTGTGACGATTATCAGATTTATGCCGGGTAAAAGATGAGTGTTGGAATAGCCAGTCATGAAATATGGTCTCCAGGTACCCGTATGCTCCCTGTATAACGTAGTATGCCCCCCGAACCTTATCACAGACATTAATGCCGTTGTATATTGCTACACAACCCATATGGAAGCCAGTTGCTGCACTATTCTTGGGATCCTTCTTAACCGTAGTCATGGCTCTCTGAAGAGTAATTTCAATGTGAGGGTGTTTGTCCCCAAGGGTCCTCTTAATCCGAACTCTGAAAAACCCGAAACGCTAAACCAGAAGAACCTATAAACCCCTACACTCTAAAGCCTAAACCCTAAATCCTGTCGTTAAAGGAGCCGTGCATTGAAATGCTTCTGTCAGGTGACCATGACACGCCGAACCGGGAAGTCCCAGGCGCACCAGCCAGCCTAATCTTTAAGAGCTGTCTCTGAAGAACCTGTATGCATCATATAGGCCTAGAGTATGTCATAAAGTCTCACAATATATGGTATTATGTTATTTCGTACTGTGTTATACTACCTGGTATTAAACTATAGTATATTGTTTACTATATTCTGTTGTAGTTTGTTATATTATGTTGTACCATGATATTATGTGGGCATATTATACTTAGTTTTATATTGTGTCTATGGTTTCAGAGTTTAGCATTCGGGGTCGCGGGCTGAATGTTTTGCAGCGTAAGGTTCGGGTTGTGAGATTTGGTGTGCCAATCAGCCCGACCAGACCCTTCTTCGAGCTTCACGCGCGAGGCAGTGTATGAGTACTCGGTGTCATAAAGTAGCCACTCAGCACCTTCGTGAGAAGTTTCCTGCCGGAAGATTTCGCTGACATCCGCGGATTCTTGGCGAATCGTGCTAAACCAGAATTTCCTCCGAAAACCCATATCCTCCTGAAAGGTGAAGTCCGACCTGAATCTCTCAACTCTGAACCTTAAACCCGGAACCTCTAAGCCCTGAAAACCCTAGACTCTTGAACTCCGAACCTCTCAGCCGGAAACCCTCAACCCCGAAACCCCTCAACCCCGAAACCCCTAAACCCTGAACCCTCAACCCCGAAACCCTAAACCTCCAAACTCCTAAACTTCTGACATGAAGGAGGCAGCGACCTCCTCCGATCGGCCGGGAGGCTATTGGGCCGGACCTTGTTTTAGGGCTTTCAGGGGATTTTCGAGTTTTTGGGGGGTTGAGGGTTATTTAGGGTTTAGAGTGCAGGGTTAGAGAGGGTTTAGGAGTTTAGGGTTTAGGTTTTTTTTTTTGCGTTTTTGTTGCACACTTCGGGGGGGGGGGGGTAGGGGTTTCGGCTAGAAACTTCGGGTTGAGGAGCTGAGGGGAGGAGGAGCCTTTCAGTCAAGGGTTTTTTTTTGGGGGAATTATCTTGCGGGCTTCAGGGCTTAGGGTTGAGGGCTTAAGGGTTGAGGGTTTATAAGGGCTTAAGGGTTTATAGGGTTTAGGATTGAGGGTTTCAGGGTTGAGAGTGTAGACTTGGAGGTTGGGGTGGAAGTGTAGCTCAGAAACAATACGAGTGTTGTGTTTATGGTCTGGGTTTTGAGTGGGTAGGATTCAGTAAGCGAGGGTCCGTGTTGAAAACGTGTTGAATTTGAGATACGTTTGCCTGCCACTTCCATGGTCGCATGAATTCGGGAAGGGAGTTTTCCGGTTTCGTGCGTGCTGACTGCACTTTGTTCCTTAAACCCTATAACCCTAAACCGCTTGATGTCAGCACCCGAGAGTTTGGAATTGCAGGTTCAGTCGAGGCCTTGCAACCGAGCAGTCAAGCAGGTCCTGAAAGGCCTCCGACTTTTCTCGTTCCATGCAGCACAGGCAGGCCAGTGGGCTTGTAAGAAAGGGGGTTGTTGTCAAAATGTCGGTCCCTTTTTGGGTACCCTAAATAATAGGTGCCGTATTGTAATAAGGACCCAAAAGGGACCCCCTAATTTTGACAACCACCCAAAGAAAGACATCGACTAAAGCCAATCCCCACGCATGTCGTTCAGGCACTTCGCCCTTCGAGGGGGCGCGGTGGCGGCAACCGCAGGTCGAGCCTCCCAAGCCCTGTGTTTGTGTTTTTGGTTGTTCGGGTTGTTTGGCTGTTTGTGTTACTGTTGGTCCTGCCATTGTTAGCCTCTGGGTGTGTGTGTGTGTGTGTTCTCAGCATCTTATTGCTGTTGACGGTATTTTTTCGCTGTTTTTCCGTTATTCATCACGGTGTTTCCAGGTTCTGCTGTTGCTTGTGGTTTCCCGTTGTGGCTTAGTGTGTGCGACTGTACGTCAATGATTGGGCATTTGCTGGCATATGAATCTTGGGTTGCCAGGTTTTGTGTTGTTTGGAGGTACTGCGACTTGCACGATCATAGCGTAATACACCCCCCAAACCCTATTCCAATTATTAAGGTCCCCATGGTAGCCGGGTTCGGGGAGTTCTCAATCCGGTAGAAACTCTGGAGAAGATACCGGCTCGACTTCTTTGCGCACCCTGGCCCTTCTGAACCCTACTCGACACACCGTCTGTGACTGGCTGCTGTCCTCGAAGCTCTCAAACTCGCCTCTGTAGAGTCAAGTTTAGTAGGCCAGAAGCCGCAAGCCTGACAAACTTACCTTTGGTTAGTAGGGAATGGAAGAATGGTGGTAGTAGTAGTAGTAGTAGTAGTAGTAGTAGTAGTAGTAGTAGTAGTAGTAGTAGTAGTAGTAGTAGTAGTTATTATACTTGTACCCCATTCCTCCATTCCCTACTAACCAAAGGCAAGCAAACCTGAAAGCCGCGAATCTCAAATCTTCAGCTTCGGGCCCACGGGAAATGCTCCCTTCAGTGCTGAGCATCAACCCTGCAGAACAGAAGTTCCATGGTAAATTTCCAGTACCCAGATTAAGGTCTCTATATCCATACTTCCCTTTTTATAGTACCCGTAGAGTATCCATTATAGGAGCCCTTGAAAGGAACCCTAGACCCTAAACCCTAAGCTAAATACATGGCTGAGGTTTTTCACCACTATGGACCCGAATAGGGTCGGCGAGTTCGGAAAAGAGCCGTCACCATGGATTAATCAAACACCAATTACACATGGGTGGTTGTCAAAATTATGGCCCCTTTTGGGGTCCCTTATATAGTACGGCACCTAGTATTTAGGGTATATACCCAAAAAGGGACCATAATTTGGACAACCACCCACATCCCTAAACCATATCAACCCTGGGTCGCAAACCAAAACCCCTGAAAGCCTAGCAATCTGAGCTTTGCACTCCGACCATCGACGCCAAAAAGGGGGCGTGAATCCCAATCTAAAGCCTACACCCCCAACAACCCTAAACCCCTAGACCCTAAACTCCTAAACCCCTACACCCTAAACGGCTAAACCCCACGCCCGAGAATTTGGAAGCCGGTGGAGGCCTTGGAAACCACAGCGTCGCCAAGGCTCGGCGTCGGAGGGCTTTGGGTTTGAGGGTTTACTTGGAGGTTCAGTTTAGGGTTTAGGGTTTGGGGTTTAGGGTTTAGGGTTTAGGGTTTAGGGTTTAGGGTTTAGGGTTTAGGGTTTAGGGGTTTAGGGTGGTAGTTATAAGTGGTATAAGTACCCTAATATGGGGTGTAAGTCTAGTTACTATACTTATAACCCTACTTGTAATTACCCATGAACCTCCAAGTAGGGTTTAGGGCTTTGGGGGTTTAGGGTTTGGGGTTTGGAGTTTTGGGGGGTTTAGGGATGAGGGCATGTGTCAGTGTTACTATATACTAGCGTTGCTAGTGCTACCTAATGCAAATGCTCTGCGTGTTGATTGCATAGCTTCGATGGTTTTTCTTTAGACGCATTATGCATTTTTAGGTTGCTTATACCTTGGGTGTGAAGCCTCTGAGGACAGAGTACTAGCTTGAGATCACAAGCTTCGGAGGCCTGGTTATTTGGGCCGCAAGAGCAGCAAGAGCAAAGCGAAAGCAAGAAGGAGTAGGCGGTAGCAATGAAAGTACAGGAGGGCTCGATGTCAGGCCTTGCTGAAAATGTCAGCAGATCGAGAGTGAATGTGCTGCAAAGCTATAGCGACATCTTGCATCTTCCAAGTGAATAGCACTGCTCATGTTGATCGCGGGTCGATTCTTTCCCACTGCAAGTTGATTTTTGCACCACTCCCGGGTTATGTTTGCCATTGTTGCTGCTGCCGTCATCATTGCCATTAGACAGTCCTCACGGTATCAGGAATATGATTTGAAGCAACGCCGCGTCCGCTTCCGACAGCATACACGAGTGTGCAGTCGGAGTAGTTTTCGGATACCATGCTTGGAGGTTCAGGGGTAGTTATAGGTGGGGTTATAAGTCCCTTACTATGGGTTATAAGTATAGTTACCCTACTTCTAACCCTACTTATAACTACCCATGAACCTCCAAGTAGTCACTTTCCGACTCCTCCTCGTCGTCGCGGTCGTAGCCGCAGTCGTGGTCGCAGTCCGGTAGTAGGAGTTTTGGCAGTAGTAGTAGTAGTCGTCGTCGTCGTCGTCGTGCTGGTGGTGGTAGTAGTAGCAGCAGTAGCAGCAGCCTCACCACGAGCACGAGCACCAGCAGCAGCAGCTCCTGCAGCAGCAGTAGTAATAGCAGTAGGAGTAGGAGTAAGAGTATGAGTAGGAGTAGGGGTTGTGCTACTTGCATCGTTGTCGTTGTTGTTGTTGCTGCTGTGTTTGCATTCTTGCTTCTGGGTGAGGGTGATCTGTGGTGCTGATGGTTCTGTGGCTCTGTTTTGTGCTTGCGGTTGACCTGCCTGCTGCTGCTGCTGTTGTGGTATGCTTTTGTGGTCGTAGTTTGGGTTGTAGGTTGGCGGTGGCGGTGGCGGTGATAGTGGTGGTGACGGCAGCATTGGCGATGAAGGTGGGGGTGGCAGTGACGGTAGCGGTGGCAGTGGCGCCGTTGCTGCTGCCGTTGCTGTGCTGTATGTCATTGTCATGGTTGTGCCTACTACTTGTATAAAGAACTTGGAAGGGGCCCCCACCCTGTAATAGTGGTATGATAGGATTATAATAGGGCCCTAATATAATCCTTATAGTCACTATTACAGGATGGGCAGCTTCTACCAAGAACATGTCAAACTTTGAACGAGATGAGGCCGCGAGCAGGTCACAGCGCTGTGCTGCAGGCACTGTGCTCGGATGTCAAGATTGCAGTCCTGATGATGGGCGACATTGGGATGACAGTGATGGCAATGACGATGATGCTAACATAATTACCTGGTGGCCGGCTAGTTTTCGTGGATAGTGAGGTCTCGTTTGCATTCCATATTTACAGTAAGGACAGTTCCGCAACAGGTAGGACTGTCTGTTCCGGCAGGTACTGCATCCGGGGGTTTTGAGCTGCATGTTGCGGGCTTAATCATTTAATCTCCATAAACAAGAGCATTCGCACCGTTTCGCACATATGTAAGCTATCCTAAACCCTAAACCCTGGCAAGAGGCCCCTTCGCCTAACCTGATTTTGGAAAGCCCTGCCTCCCAAGAGGGCCTTTGATTCAGGATGTGTTCCTAAATTCTAACCCCCAAGCCCTGAGCCCTCAATCCTAAGCCCTGAACCCTGAACCCCAAAGCCGCAGCCCTGAATCCTACACCCTTAAACCTTCAGGGTGTTCAGGTTTCAGACTTTGAAGCTCGAAGTGCTTGTGGCTCAGAGAGCCAGAGGCAGCCTCAGACCCTAAACCCATACACACCGCTAAGCCTAAACCCCTCAAGGTTGCGGAGTGTAGGGTTTACGGTTCGGGATGTAGGATATTTGGGGTTCCTAACCCCTGAATCACTGAACCTCGAATCCTGTAAAGATCCCTCCTGCACTCTTTTGCTTATAGAGCCGATTTGATATAGTGAGTCCCGGAAAGTTGGAACATGGGTTTAGGAGGATTAGTGCTAGGATCCCTTATACTTGACCTTAAGGGCATGAGGATACTGATGTTCCAACTTTCTGGCTTCTACTATAAGGGACCCGAAGCCGACTTTCGATAAGATGTGAGGTCCCCATCGCCCCGGGAGAGACCCCAGCGGCCGGGATCCAAGCCATCGAGAAGCCGTGTAATGAGTGGGCGTTAGGAATTAATATGGGAGTTTCCGAAAATAGGGGACCCTAATGTAGCACCTTAAATCGTAGGATCCTTATTATCAGGACCCCAAAAAATAAGGTACCCCTATAATTTTGGAAACTCCCATATGGCCGGCGTTTGGGGTGCACTAAAATGGCATTATATATCCGGACTTGACGGTGCATCAATTCGACCAGCCGACCTCTGCATGTGGGTAGTTGTCAAAGTTAGTGTCCCTTCTTGGGTCCTTAATATAATACGGCACCTAGCATTAAGGGTACCCAGAAAGGGACCATAATTTTGACAACTACCCATGTGCAGGTTGTTGCCCATAAGTGCCATCGTGTAGCAACCCACTAGGCAAGCCCTTCCTACTTTGAGGAAACACTGACTGCTCTTTAACATGTAATGGGAACGCTTTCGGGAAACACCCTCTGAAGTCATCTCAGCTTCTTTGCGCCAGTTTCGGCTCAGGGGGGTTCAGGAGCAAGACAGGAGAGCACGAGAAACCGCAAGAACAGGACCCCAAACCCTAAACCGTTAAGAGCTATAGAGCACGATCACCCTCAAAAGTGGCAGTAGCGGTAGCGATTGAATCAATACTGAACACGCCTTTCCAGAGATTATTGGGGGAGGGGGCGTGCCCGCCCCCCCGCCCCGTTTAGTATTATGGGCAAGGGATTAGTAGGCAATTGCTTCTAGGGTTTTCGAGCACTTAGATAGGATGTCGTGTGAAAGGTAAGTTTCACGATTTGGTACAATGCACAAGGTGGTGTGAATCCTGGTAATCCCATGGGGCCATTTCATGGCACAGTTTTTTGGGGGCCTCTGTTGTGTCTTCCAAAGCAGCCGCATCTTTCAGTAGTTCCAGTCTGACCCCAAGAAGGGCAAACACCTCGTTTGCATTCCTAGTTACCTGGCATGAAACGATCCTTCAGGTGCTCATCTACGGCGGCTTGGGCGACGGAGGGCGCTTCAGCTGCAGTTGGCCCGTTCCTGCAACTGCGTCTGCTATTGCATCCGCACTTTGCTTTTATTGTCCTGGGGTATGAAACCCGTAAGCCAGAAGCATCGAGGCAGGTGAAGTCCGTCTTGACAGAGTTCACAAACTCCAGGCTTCTGTGTCACTTGATGCTTGTTCATGCCCTCTCGTCAAGTGCACGACAGCCATGGAGCGACGATGCTGCAAGGTTTGTTTACTTTTCGGCATCCGTTCAGCGGCAATTAATTCGCGACCGGTGTGGCAGGAGTTTGAAGTTAGCAGGCTAAATATTCAAGCCATACATCATTGCAGAAGACTGCCCTGACCTACAAACAGCCAAGCCCTCCGGAGCTCGAAGCTGAACTCCCATCCGAAGCACGCAGAACTCTCCCTCTACCGGTCTGGAGTGGGAACAAGAAGCCTTCATGATAATTAGAGTATGCTGTTCGAGCAGGACATTGCGGCATCTTAATCCTAGCCTTCCCCCGTTTTAAAGAACCGAAAGACTCATTCCTTTTGATAACTGGGAGGGCACCTGAGGCTGCCTTTGAGCGATGCCTTCGAGGTACGAATCCTCGAAACCGAGGTGTCGCGGGAGGGTTGTCCGCTGGCCTGGGACAGAGCTTATGCTCATACCAGCAAATTCGGAGTTTAGGGTAATTAACAGAGTCACTGTTGAACAATACAACCACCTCAGCGATGTTGCAGTACTACTGAAAGGGCAACTAAACATCGTCAGCAGTCAGCATAGACATAGCAATACTCCTCGTCGGCAAAATGCCAACGGTTTTGACATCGTCATAACCATAGTGAATTGAGGCGGAAAGCACCATGCAATGCCCCGACCCTGACATGTCTCTAGCCAATTTTCGAGATGCAGCACGAGAAGCAGTTCATGGTTTTGTGGGTTTTCGGGACTCAGTGGCTGGGTTGGACCCCAGCGCTGTTCGCTTGCGTTTCTTGGCTTTGGAGCAAATCAGCCCATTCTCTAATCCGCCCCTTCCAAATCCCCCCTTGCGACCAGAATCCTCATTCAGCCGCTCATAAGAACACCTACGGAGCCCTGAAGGCCAGTTTAGAACCCTGAACCAATCTAATCGAATGCCATGGAAACCATGATTAAGGTCAAACCCGTCTAAACCCTAAACTCCTCCCTACGACTCCCCTAAGCATAAACCCTGACCCTTAACAACTACACCCGGAAGCCCTCAAGCCCGAGTGCTGACAAAAAGCCCTCCGTGCCCTGAGGATCAGTCCTTGGAATTCGTTTGGAGCCTCTTGGATGCCGGTGGAAAGGAGCATTGTGAGACGGCCGGCTCCTGAGATTGGGATAAGCGTCCATGGTTTAGTGATGTTTAGGGTTTAGAGTGAAGGGTGGAGCCCGCATCAATTTGGGGTCTAGGGCTGGGAGTGGGTTTGCAAGTTCTGGAGGACAGAGATCAGATCTGATCGTACTGCACACGAGTTGCATTGCTTTGCACCTCCTGCGGTTTTGACGATCGCCGTTCCTTGATGTATACATCACTATTCAACAGTGACTAGTGTTGTTGCTGCGATGATTCTAGCTCACGGTCACCTAATCCTAAGCTTGCTGTTGTGACTATTGCCGGTCCTTGCTGTATCACGATCATATAAGTTACTGTGACTAGCATTGTTGCTACGATGCTTCTAGCTCACGGTCACCAAGCCCTAAACCCTAAACCGTGGCGCGTCGAGGCCCCTTGGGAGCAGCAGAAAGCTCCCAGGCGCCCCGGGAAAGAGAGAGGTGTGTTGCGCGAGAGGATTTCGGATTTGGGGGTGGACCTACGGTTGATGATATAAATCCTGCATTACCCATAATAAGGAATGTACCATAAATCCCATAGTTTAGGGCCCTTAAGGTAATGCAGGATTTTTATTATCAACAGTAGTGGTTTCGGTGCCCCTGCCCTCTGCCCTAATCATGCTAACGTGCATGAACCGTGTTGGGGAACAATAAGACTGCAACTGTATGAGGCAGTTTCACCGCTATTGCCTTGGTTATGGCACCATCTTAAATCCAGAAGCAAGCTCGAAATGACATTGAAGCACCCTAATGTAGGGGCCTTCATGACTTGAATAGGGTTTGGGGGTATATTAGTATACTGCAAATATAATCAAGAAACCCCCAAAACCCTATTCTAACTATTAAGGCCCTTCGCCTATCCGTGGCCTAGGACGGCAAGGCTGTGAATGTGAAGAGGTGCACCAAGCACATCTGAATCACATCATATTCGCCAAGGCACTGTTTTAATTGTTTAAAGCCCTTACACTCCAGCCTTATACTAGCCCGTCTTGTAATCCTGATAGAACCCTTTTAGAAGGACCAGTCTCCTCACCACGGTCCGTTCTGAGACCCCGACTCCCGTTTCTGTCTAGTTCTGATTAAACTCTGACTTTGAACCTCTGAAACACCCTGAAACCTAAAACCCTGAACCTTAATAGTCCTGTAGCAAACTCGAAAGCCCTGCACCCTGCATAGCCCATTTTAGGCCTAAGCTTGTCTCGTCCCCTACGGAACCATGTACCTATACAGCATGTATATACTTAGGCCTCAAAGTACCTACATAGGAATCCCTTGAAGGCCAAAGTAGACACTATAGGTACATGGAGCCTTAAACCCTACACACTGTAGAACCCGTATAGAACCCTTCTGGCACCCTGGTCAAAGGAACCCTTAACGGATCCCTGTATAGGTACATGGAGCCTTAAACCCTAAACCCTAAAAGCCTTAGGGTTCCATTTCCGAGAGGCCGCGTACGTGCCATTCTGCCGTGTTCTGGCCCTCCAGCTCCGAGTTGGGCTCCAAGCATCCGAGGGCCTCGAAGAAGGGCATAGATCCTTAATTAGCATAGAAGTCTACATTCTTGCCATAATACTACTAATTTTGGGGCTGCTTATTATGATTATAGTAGAATGGGCCCAAAAACTGTATTCTCATTATGAAGGTCCCTACATTATTGAGTTTAGGGTTTATGCGTTTCGGGTTTGAGGGCCTTTGAAGTTTAGGCTTTTCGGGCTTCGCGTTTTTTTGGGCTATTGTTATTTTAGGGTTGAGGGTTCGGGGTTTTGTGTATGTGTGGGGGGTACTTTGATGCTCCATGGGTTTAGGATTTGTAGGTGTTTCCGGGTTTAGGGCTCTTGGGGATGCGGGCGCTTTACTCTTGAAATTGTTATCCATATCTCAACCCTTTTTAGACCCTAAACCCTAAACCATTTAAGATGTCATCCGTAACTAAAACCTTTTGGTTCCTTCTCTTCTTGCTGGGGTGTTCGGAAAGGTCCAGAAGGCAGCTAACACCGTGAAGCTTCATGTTCGGCTCCGTGCAAAAATGGCCTTAATTAATTACCAATACTGATTTGCAGGATTCCATATTATAAGTATAGAATACAATAACCCAAACCTTATTCTAATTATTCAGGCCCTTGTATTAGGTGCTCGATTAGTGTTCGTCTGTTCGTGCGACGAATATAACGACGATTACTAGCATGTATCACTTCCAGATGGCTCGCTTCAGTCTTTCCGGGAAATCCGACTTGCCTAAAATTCAATACGCTGAACCCTCAACCCCAAGCCCCAAAGCCACTCAGGCGTAGCATGGTGGTCTTCGGTGGCCTTGGCATGGGGTCTCTGCAGCTGCAGCCAGAAGGGAGAATCTTCACAACTCGGGTTTAGTCTGCACAGGTTTCTACACATACGTACGTACATACATACGCACATACGTACATATACATACATGCACTGTTGCATGCATATGTACGCGCATGTACACGCACAAACATGGATGAACGGGGATGATCTGTGGACGTGTAAACATGCACGCACTCACAACCATGTTTCACACACGTACGCACGCATCAGTTTTCGTATTTCCCACACACACACACACACTGACTGTGACACGAGGAAGGTGCAGTCGCACGCATGCGCATGCACATGCACACGCACACACACACACACACAGAGACACACACACACACACACATACACACGCTGACTGACTGACATTGTTGTTTTGTGTCTCTGATTTTGGCCGCTGAACCCTGAATCCAGCCCCTTAGCCCTTAGCCCTTGCAAGCTAAACACAAACCCCGAACCCTGGTGAAAGCTGCAACATACTGCCACTAGCACCAGCCCATAAACCGCAAGGGCCCTAAACTTTGCAAGCTGAACACCCTAAAACCCCAACACCTTAAACCCGAAACCCTAAACCCTAAACCCTAAACCCCTAAACCCGGAACCCTAAGCCCCAAACCCCTAAACCCTAAACCAATAAACCCTAAACCCGAAAGCCCTGACAGCTCCAAGTCCCCCAACTCCCGATGAGCAAAGGCTCGAAGGGGAGCCGAAAGCCCTGGGAGACACCTGGATGCTCATGGCCCTGTCCCCAGGAAGAGTCTGAAGTTTGAGAGGTTTTTTTTCCTTTCTGTGTGCGCAAGAGTCAAGTATATATATATATATATATAATATATAAATATAATATATAATATTATATATATATATGTGTGTGCGTGTATTAGTTTTTAGATAGATATCAGGGTTTATGGTTTATAGGGTTATGAAGATTTTCACCGGTTCCAAAAGCCTGTGGAGGTTTGGACGTTTTTTGTCAACGGCAATAAAGGGGCTTATGTTGCTTTGTAAGGGTTCTGTTCTGCAGGGCTTTATGCGCTTGAGATGTTGCACCAGGCATCGATTTGGCTTATGTTGCGTTGTTTTAGGGGCTTGAGATGTTGGGCCAGGTATTGATTTGAGATATATTTTTTAATTTCCCTTTTTGCTGAATACTGATCCCTAATTATAAACAGTTTTGGGGACTGTTGAAATCGACATCTGATTTAGGTTTGAGCAGTTAGGTCGTCGCGGTCAAGTGTTCAGGGCTGTGATTCGAGTCTAGGTTTTAGGTTTTCAAGCTACGTATGCCTTAAACGTTCCTTAGACTAGAAGGTGGCTTTTGACTACTGTATTCCCCAACTAAACCCTAAACTTAACTCCAGAACCCTTAAACCCCAAGTCAGAGGGTTTAGTGCTGGAACTGAAACTTCCTACTATGTAACTCCTCCAAAGCCTAAGCCTTTAACCTTGAACCAGACGAAACCGATATCCTTAACGTAGAACTCATACCCCGAACTCCCGGCCTTTTTCCGCGACCCCAAACATCCGGGCGCTTCATTTAAGTCCTGGTATACTTGTGCTATGACATGCACCAAAACCCCAGTCAACAAGTACTCAATTCCCTCAACTTCAAACCATAAACCCCAAACCTATGCTCAGTATCAATGCCGCCCTCCCTCTGTTCATACGTGTCAACGCCCTCTGTCTGACATATAGCAGAACATGGTGTACTGCATTGTATGTTATCGTAGGGCAGGTTAAGTTAAGATAAGGAGAACGAGAATATCGTCGTCAGAAGAAGAACAGTGACAATAATACGAATAATGACAACAGTAATGGTGGTGGTAGTAGTAGTCGTCGTCATAACAATCAGAATATCAATCGTTGCTACGAATACTAGTCACAGTTATCAGTAATAATAACACTCATACTACAATTTACTACAATACTACCAATTTGACCAAGATTTGTAACAGTAATTTACTAATCAGACGAATACTAATTGTAGGCTAAGGGACGGGCGTTTGCCCGCGTGTATTTGGGGAAATGTGTGTTTCTCTCGAAAAAACACACGTTTTCCGAGGTTTGGACTAGGGTTTGGTTGGATATGAAACTTGGAAGTTCCGTGTAGAAGGTTTGGGGAGTACACGCCAGGTTGGGGAGCATGGAGCAAGCATACCACAGGAGAGGAAGGCCTAGCTTACTCGAGAAAAACCGAGGTTTTTGTAGGTTTGGACTTGAGGAGTGGTTGTTCTTTTGCAGGAAGATGTCTCTATTCGGAGATGCTGAGAAGCGCGGCCCAAATCTCATTTTTACGGGGTTGGCAGGGAGATTTTTTAACACGGACGTAATCATCTTTCGGCCATGGATGCTCTGGCCAATCGCACGCACTGGAAACACGGACGCCATCATCGTTCGGCCATGGATGCTGTGGCCCATGCACGCACGGGCAAGGCGGTACTTATCTTTTCAACATTCTAAACACGCAAAACACAGTAAATACCGATGTTTTCAGCAACACTGCTCGCATGCACTGGCAACACGGACGTAATTATCGTTCGGCCATGGATGCTCTGGCCAATCGCACGCACTGGAAACACGGACGCAATCATCGTTCGGCCATGGATGCTCTGGCCAATCGCACGCACTGGCAACACGGACGTAATCATCGTTCGGCCATGGATGCTCTGGCCAATCGCACGCACTGGTAACACGGACGTAATCATCGTTCGGCCATGGATGCTCTGGCCAATCGCACGCACTGGTAACACGGACGTAATCATCGTTCGGCCATGGATGCTCTGGCCAATCGCACGCACTGGCAACACGGACGTAATCATCGTTCGGCCATGGATGCTCTGGCCAATCGCACGCACTGGTAACACGGACGTAATCATCGTTCGGCCATGGATGCTCTGGCCAATCGCACGCACTGCTAACACGGACGTAATCATCGTTCGGCCATGGATGCTCTGGCCAATCGCACGCACTGGTAACAGGGACGTAATCATCGTTCGGCCATGGATGCTGTGGCCAATCGCACGCACTGGTAACACGGACGTAATCATCGTTCGGCCATGGGTGCTGTGGCCAATGCACGCACGGGCAAGGCGGTACTTATCTTTTCAACATTCTAAATACGCACAACACAGTAAATACCTATGATTTCAGCAACACTGCGCGTGCAAAACCACAGACCCAAACAACATGCGATTGCTTCTTTCAGGATTCGATCCCCAAAACTGCCAGCATGCACCGGAGTAAGTGCGGGCAAACGCCCAGCCCTGACCCTAATTGTAGTAATACTGAGATTGAAAATATATTCATTCCCTGCATGTGTTTTGCAGCCCCGAGGTTGGCTCACCGACTCCTGGCCGTGGATTGCCTCAGGCTTTACGGATAGGGATTTAGGTTAGAAGCTGCCCCCACCCTGTAATAGTGGTATAATAGGAATATAATAGGGCCCTAGTATAATCCTATATAATCCTTATAGTCACTATTACAGGGTGGGGGCAGCTTCTAAGATTTAGGGTTTAAGTTGTTTTGTGGGGCTGGCAGAACTCAAAGAGTGCACTCAAGCGACATGCAAGTCCCTCAAACATGGATGCAAGGGGGTTTAAGGTTAGTGCTTAGGATAGTCCCCGAAGCTTGTGGATTTGTGGGTTTAGGGTTTAGGGATGTTGCTTTCGAGGAGGGGTTGTAGAGGATTCAAAGGCGTGGGTTTTTGGGATGTAGTGTAGGCAATAGGTTTCGGATATTGTGTTTTTTCGGGTCGCCGGTTTGTCAGGTTATTGAGTTCAGTGTCTGAGGTTTTGGTTTGTGGGGTGTCAGGATTCAGGGTAGAGAGAAAGTCATAATGTGACTCTCTGCATTTGGAATCTACTGCTGCTGCCGCTGTTGCTGCTACTGCTCTGCTCCTTCTGCTTGCTGTGCTGCTACAGCTACTCCTACTGCTTGCGTCAATGCTACGGCTACTGCTGCTGCCGCCACTACTGCTACTGCCTTCACTACTGCTCCTGCACCCATGCTATCCCAAACGCTTGTGCAGCGGCCGGGAACCCCGAGAAGCGACACACCCAATTGTGCGACCTAGCCTCGATGAAAGAAGTTTAGACGGGTGCTCATATGGCTCTTTGATCCGGAGTCCTTTTCAATGCCTGTAAGATAATTACTGCAGGTAATTCCGCAGTTAGGCAACACAATAGAACGCCTCCGACGAGGCTTTCCGTTCCTTTCCCTTGCGATTGTCGCAGCAAGGTCCCCTACTCCCTCAACGCTGAACCTCTAAATCCTGCACTCTGGAAGCCCCAAACCCTAAGCCCTAGACCCTGAACCCTAAACCTAAGACCCTAGACCCCAGACAAAAGCCCCAAATCCCTAAACCCCAGAGCCCAAACCCTGAACCCTGAACCCTAAACAGACCCTACCTGGACCCTAAAGAACCTACCGTTTTAAGGACTGATATAAGGAAATCGGAACCGAAAAAGGTAGGTTATTCAGGGTGAAGGTAAACCCCGCAGGTCCAGGCGACTGCCGGCTGGAAGCGGCCAATGATGACAGGCCTGCATAATACAGGGGCCTTAACAATTACCTATACTATTTTGGGGTTCCTTTAAAAGGCTCCGTAAAGGGGTCTATTAAGGATTTATAGCAGTGTTCCATAATATAGGGGTGTTAATAATTACCTGCGCTATTTTGGAGGGCTACTTATTATAATTATAGTATAATGGGCGCCAAAACCCCATTCTTATTAATATGGCCGCTACATTAGTTTGGTGGTGAGCTGTTGGGCAGACTGTCCAAGAGGGTCCGTATATGCTACCATCATGGAATGCGGTCCCTGAAGACCCATTCTGATGATGGTTTAGGGACCTAAACAATTCCAGAGTGGTAGTATTTGTGCGCGTGTTGGTTGTCTGTTGAACAAACCTTGATGTCGAGTGCTTTGCCTTCAATCCCAAAGCCACGCCTGAAGAAGAGCCGTCCAGTTGCAGCTTTTCGCAACCTGAAGAGGTGGTGCACCGCCCTGCCGTTTCGGCCATGGTGCGTGCCTGGTGTTTTGTCTGAGAGGTTATGCACCACTACACCAGGTGTGTTGGGACCGTTGGGATGTGAGCGACGTCAATGCAGTACTAAAGAGAGGTTAAAGGTCCCAGTTTCTTTCTTGAGCGACGTTTGTTCCCGGGTGGTTCCGGGATAGTCGTTGTTTGTTGCTTCTGTGTTCAGGGCGTATGTTCAGGGCATATGCCGGTTCGTCGAGGAAGAGCGACTGGGGCGCTTGAGAATCCAGCGTGTCCATGAGGAACGCAGGTACCCCGAAACCCCTAAACCTCTAAACCCTGAGTCGGGGGTTCTTCGACATCTGTTTTGGCAATGTTCCTAAGGTGCCCTTGTTGGGCAATAGAATGGCCGTAGTGTTTGGAATAGGGGTTTGGGGTATATTGAAGAACTGTATATGCTAGAACTCTAATCAGGAGCCCCAGGAATGGCCTGGCTGAGTATTTAGGCTTCTACAGTATCGGAGATTCCTGCCGGTCTATTGCTAGTTTGTTGGGCTATGGCGAAATCACTTTCTGACCCAAGCGACGGTTGGAGTTTGACTGTGTAGCCGATAGTGCTTGCAGCTCGCACGAACACAGGCTCATTCAACTGGCTCCCAGATTTTCGGGAGGATCTAGAAAGTAGATCTCTAATTTGGGGCCTTATACACTTCATAGGAACCCCCATTAAGGGATCTACTTTTTGGATCCTCCCGGGGGTCTGGGCTGTGGGTTTGCACGTGCTAGCCTTCGTCCTGACTGGGGGCTTGCAAAAGGCGCTCTGAAACCAGCATATTCAAGATGATAATTCCCCACCTCGTTATGCAGTCTTTCCTCCAGTGTGTCTACAAAAGGTTGGCTTTTTAATTACAAGACTTCTACCCATGGTTAGATTCATTAGATTCGTCCAGGTTCCCGTAAAAGGTTGTCTTTGACCAAAACATGACCATCATCACCATGGCCATACAGACGGTAGAAAAGATTTGCAGAGCAAAACTAGTGACTAGCACTACTACAACAGCACTCACTTGTTTGGCAGCAGCGATGATAGTCCCCGACTTGCATTGTTCCGGTTGCGAGCTTAGCTCTGGACCCGATGTCCCAGTCTCTGCGCAGAGATAAGACGCATTAAATCTTCATAAGACTGCAGATCAGAACCGACAATCCCGAAGACCACCACACCCTAAAATCGAAGTCTTAAACCCGAAACTCTGAATAAATCCTCGCCCGTCTGACCACTAAAGCCCTAAACCCCAAACCCCTAAACCTTAAACCCCCAACGATAAACCCCTAAAGCCTAAACCCCTACGTAAACCCCTAAAAACCCTAAACCGATCGTAAGTGCCCCAAACTCAAGGGTTCGGCCTGGATCTTGCCAGGCTCCCAAGAGTCCTTGCAAGGAAGAGGGCCTAAATATTGGGGGTTCCGTTAAAGGTCTCCGAAAAGGGGTCTATAAGGGATCTATAGTTCCTTGAAAGGTTTAAGGTTCCCTAAATAAGTCTATAAGGGATCTATAGCAGGGTTCTATAGTATAGGGGCCTCAATAGCTACCAATACTATAGGGGGGGGCGGGGGTTCCTTAAGTTTTTTTTAGTAGATTGGGCCCAAAACCCTATTCTTATTATTAAGGCCCCTGTTGCAGGCTTCGCATTTGGGGGCTGTTTTGGGGCAGGGTGGAGTTGGGCATTGTACCTTCAAGCACCTGACGTGTAGCATTTAAGTTAAAGCCGCAACGTGGAGCCCGAGATCCAAGGGACCGTACATCCGCACATTGCCTGAGTTTAATAAACTCATGCATGCATCCAGACTACCAAGCCCAAAACCCCAAGCCACGAATGTTCGTCTTTATCCGAAAGTAAGCTACGTTGTCTTCGCAGCACACGCCGCCACGGACCCAAGCGTGCGTTGGTTGCAGTTGCGTTGAGAAGCACAAGACAGTTCTTAAACAGAGTATGACGAGTCATGAAAAATCCTTCGGGCCTGCAACTTGCACATAGTCGCTGCATCGAGCTTGAACTCGTCAAGAACGACTCCGTTATGGCATGTCAATGTATAGTTGCCCCCCGATGCAATCAACATAACCTACGAAGGACGCCACGTCGACGCGCAAATTGCCATCACGCCTGCGGCTCCCAAAACCATATGGACGTTGTTCTCGGGGCCGGCCTTGTCCTGTCCGTTCAGCGAGTGTTGGACAGAGTTGTCTTAACCATGTGGCCCGAAATAAGATGAAAGTATACCGGTCGACAACGATGCACAAGGGGCCTTTTTGCGTTCAATGTTTTCGACTCTTGTTGCGTCCTGGCTATGTAGGACCCACTCTTGCCCAAACAGGCACCTTAAGCTTGAATTTCAGTGAGACGCATTGTACGTCAGCTCAGAAGTTTGTGGTGTTCTTAGATGGCGTCCTTTTGGGAGTTCATGTCACTTTTGCAACAAGGAACACCACGCGGACCACGATATAACGATCCCCCCAACTCGAGGGACTTCATTCGGGCATCTAGTTTGTTCGCCGCAAGACCGCATCGCAAGCCTGATGCCAAAGCGAAAGCAACATCTCCGTAGCACTTCACCTAAGGTAAGTGTTGATGGCTCCACTTCCCGAATGTTGGTGGCTGGTGGCCTGGACGTGGCTCAGCCGCCAGATTGGTGTGCTGCGGTGTGTCTGTGTGTGTGTGTGTTTGTGTCGCAGTGGTTTAATTTCTTGTCGCTTCAGTTGGCAAGTAAGCAAACAATGACACTAGTTATGGGTCATTGTGGAAGACAATTAAGTCCCAACTTCGCAGAACGGCGGCAAGCAGACACATCGGCAAGACTGTATAACACCCTGAAGCGATAGTCATCCCACCGAACATGAAGGAAACTCCGCATCTTTAACTTCACTCCATTGAATGCAATAACAATTGAAAGAAGTTCCTCGGGTCTCCGATATGACCTTAAGTCCTGAGCGTTTTTGAACTTGCATCAAGAAATAAATCGGAAGATCTGAATCTCAACCCTAAACTAAACTGCTTTGCACCGTGAACCCTCGATAGTTGATATGCCCAAACTCTTGAATCGTTGATCCCCGAAGCCCGTCCCCCGTTCCACCAAAAACCCTGGACCCAAAACCAAAACAGCAGGATAAAAGACACAGAAACGGACCAAGGCCTCCGGCAGCCCTTTGGCAGACTGCAGCTCGGCGTGCCACTTTGGGAGGTTGATGAAATAGGACTTCGGTGCATAAGGGCTGTGAAGGTTGTTTCGGAGTTTTGAAGTTATATTTCAAACGTTGAGGTTTGGGTTTTGGGTTAACAGTCAGCCAAAACATGCTACAGCTCTTCCGCATGTGAAGCTTTCGCTTCCCATTCACTAGCTTCTTTGTGCTGACCGCCCGGAACCGTTTTACAAAGGGTCCAGCGTTTACCTGACGGTTTGGTTTCGGCCTTGATGGCCTTACGACCGGGCGTCTACGTTTCGGCACATGTTGTGGTTACAGCCGCATTGGCTTGATTGCCCCAAACCCCAACTGTTTGGATGTTGTCGGTGGTCCGCAAGCTCGGACAGCGGGAGGTTGAGGCACCCGAGACCCCCAAAGCCCGAACCCTAAACCCCAGTCCGAAAAGTCCTGTAACCCCAAAACCCGAAACCCAAAACACCCAAAACATGTATTGGCTGAGCCAGAGCCACATCGCGAGGTTGGCTGCTGCACCTGAAGGCCGCCTAGAAGAAGTGTGATTGGATCATTTTTTTGATGTTTCAATGTGTTATATTGTAATATTATACAGAAGTGTATCTATATATACATATACATATACATATACATATACATATACATATACATATACATATACATATACATCTACATCTACATCTACATCTACATCTACATCTACATCTACATCTACATCTACATCTACATCTACATCTACATCTACATCTACATGTACATGTACATGTACATGTACATGTACATATACAAATACATATACATTTACATTTACATATACATATACATATACATATACATATACATATACATATACATATACATATACATATACATATACATATACATATACATACATATATATATATATATATATATATATATATGTTTATTTACTTGTTGGTACAAGTAGTTTTTTATGTGGGTGGGTTCAGGATATGAGTTTAAAGTTTAGGGGTTTCGGGTTTGCGGGTCGTCATCATCACGAGACATATATGGTTCGGAACTCCGAACACACACATTCACAGTGGCATTGCGGGCTATTAGCACAATTACCATCGTCAACATCATCGTCGTCATCATCATGGGCGCTGGTGCGTCCCTGCCGGGAGGGCTGCTTGGGATGGGCTTCCTGGATGTATGAATTTTAGGGTAGAGGGTTTGGGCTTGAAGGGACATGTGGTTGCCACACCTGGGTGCTTCTCATTTCAGGGTTCTATCGCGCCCGTCCACATATTTCATGTGATGTTCGAAGTAGAGAAGGTTTCTGCCTCTAAATACTGCGCATCTGAGTAGTTAGCGTGAGTGTTTATCCGGCTGTATATACTCTCACTCCGACTTGTGGGTTTATCCCGAAAACCTAAACCCTAAACCCTTAGCCCCAAGCCCCAAACCTACACCCTTAGGTTGGGTGGACCCTAAACTCAAAGGGGAAAAGGAGGGACCCTTAATGGGGACCCCTACCCCATAATGGGGCTATATAATGGGTATAGAATAGCTATATTAAGGGTATATACCTAGGGGTCCTTATTAAGGGTCCCTCCTTTTACCCTTGGATAAACCTGAAAGCGCGGAAAGCCTGCGGAGCTCCTCAGGAGCTACGCTGGGAGTGTGTCGCCGATGGCACCACGCCTCTGGCCCGACCGCTGAGCACTTTGGCAGAGCAAGGCGCGGCTTCCTTCGAAAGCTTGTCCGTATCTTGATGAGTAATAGTATTCATAATTTGAATATTCTTATCAGTATCGTTAGTATATCTAACAGTATTGGTGTTCATAAGCGAAATATGTTTTATCAATTCTTGTTAAGAAGAAGCAAAATGATAATGACAATCGTAAAATCGCAGCTGCGGACTGCCATGAAGCTTCTGAACAAACAATCATGGACTGACGGTTTGGTGTTTTGTCGTGGTACGAACTAAGGCGGGTCCTCGCAATCGTGCACTGCTGACGCTCCAACGCAGACTCTTTTTCGGGCTTAGGGCTTCATTTCGACCCAGATAGTACACGAATGCAGTATACGAGATCTCTCTAATTAGGATCAAAAAAGAGTGCGCGTAAAGTACGTCACCACTACAAGGACCCCTTGGTAGAGATGAGGAGTCTCTGGCGGTCTGCTCTTAAGACTTCTGAGCCTTGATCTCGACAGGTGAAACAGCTCCGAAAGATTTGGGGCGATGCCATGCAGTGTGGTCCGTCTCGGAGACTTGACCGCGAAGCGAGGGCGGCATTGCCAACAACAGCAACAGCAACAACAACAGCAACAACAAAAACAACAGAAATTGCTGCTTTGCTGCTTTGCTGCTGCAGCCGCTGCTGCTGCTCGTTACTGGTATTACTGCTACTACGACGACGACCACGACGATGACGACTACAACTGCTACGACGACGACTACCGCTTCAAACTGCCGCTACCACTGCCACTGCCACTATCACCACCACCACCGCCACCACCACGACCACGACCACTGCACTACCACTGCCACAACCAATGCCGCTACCACATGCTACCACTACCTTTGCCATTGACCCTGCGACACTATGGAGGCGACTACCACTATTACCGCTACTATCACCACGCAACTACCACGACTTTTGTTTCTGAAATGTCAAGCAGTACAATGACAGCGCTTATCCGGGCTACTTGTGGTACTGGTACACATATAACACGGCAGGACTTTGACTGAGCCTGAGCCCGGAGTGGAAAGCCTGCGCAAAGCAATCTACAGGTTTAGGGTTTAGGGTTTGAGGTGTTGGGTTTAGGGTTTGAGGTGTTGGGTTTAGGGCTTAGGGCAGGTTCACTAGCAAGGGTTAGCAGTTAGCATTACGATTCCTTCTTGTAGCTTTGTTGCTCCCCCCGCTCCCACCCCCGAAAAAAAAACAAAACAGCTCACAGAATCAAGAAACCCTAAACCTTAAAGAAGCGAAGGAGAAGGCCGTGATCATTTGGAGTTGCCACGGCTTCTGGGCCTGGCAGGAGGCGGACCAGACGTGGCCTGACCTGATCGGTGTTCAGACGCCCTTCACACGGTGAAGGTTTGAGGTTAAGGTTTAGGGTTGAGGGCTTCAGTGCCGAAATCAAACTTAGTTGTGCACATGTTCTGGCGGAAACAGCTTGCAAAGCGACCCCGAAGTGGTGGTATCGTTTTCGAAGGGGTATTCCACCTCGCATTGCATTGGGTTTTGATCGGATGGTCCGTTGAGCGAGAGCAACAAATATTGCTGTAGATTTCCGGCATCACCACCATCATCAAGTGAATCGTACGTTCATCCCCAGCTTCAGTACAATGGTCATCGGCACCATCGCCACCATCTAACTGGGCCAATGCAAAGATTGCAATCGCTATAGTTGCATTAGTAAGCCGAGCTCAAGAAGCAAGGGCAGCAAGCCTCCAGCGTGAAAGTGTGCACAACTGTTGTCACACGGCCTATTCGTGTCCCGATCCCGAAGCCCCAGGAACCCAAGAGCCCTCGACACTGAAAACTGCAGCAGCATTACTTACATTCATCAACACGTGCGGGCAGCCACGATGCCACGCACCCACCCACGCACCGTCCGTTCCCCTGCTCCGCGAGTGACCCCTTAATCACCAGGAAAACACATTTTCATAAACACAAGCTAGCTCAGGAAACTCCTTCTGCGCGGCGGCAAGAGCGAGAAGGCAGACCGATGCCTTTTTCTCCTGCTCAGGGTTGCTAAAGTGCAGCGAAGGATCAATTCAGAAGCTATACCGTCGTTGCCTCCTCTGACCACTGACCTATATATATATATGTATATATATATAATATTAACATACATGTATATATACATTGTTACACGACTGACCCATCATCGTTATGCTATTGATCCTGGGGTTGTGCTTTTGCCTTTAATGGCCCTTGGTTGAGGGTTTGATCCCGGGCCCTTGAAAACGAGGATCCCGAAACCCTACACCCCTGAACACCCCCGAACCCTTTAACCCTACACCCTTGAACCCTAAACCCGAACCCTTAACCCCAAACCCTACACCAAAAACCCCTGAACTGTTAAACCCCTAAACCCTAAAACCCTGCACCCTTCACTCCAAACCCTAAACCCTAAACCCCTGAACCCTAAACCCTATAGAACCCTCATACAGTAGATCGCTGTAAAGGAGCCTATGAATCCTAAACCCTTTGCCCCAGGCTCTCCAGCCAGTCTCCCCAAGAAAGAGGCCCTCCGGTGCTACTCCAGCGCCAGAGCTGCAAGAGTCAAGAGTCTTTAGGGTCTAGGGGTTTAGGGGTTGAAAGGTTAGGGGGTTTCGGGGTTTAGGGTGGAGGGTATAGGGTCCAGGGTGTAGCTGGCACATTGGCGTCTAAATATGCTGTTGAAGTTTTTTATTGTTTGTACACCTTGGGGCTTTGTAGCGGGTACAGGGACCAAGATTATGGAAGGTGCCCTTTGGGCGTCTTGGAGTTGGGAGGCAGTGGACCACCAAACCGAATTTGCAGGGCTCCCCTAAACCCTACAGTAACTAGGACCTAGAGTAGGCCCTTATTCCCTTTTTTAGGCTTCAGGTTCCCTTATAAGCCCCTTTAAACCAAAAAGGGCACCCTTTTTATTCCTAGGTTACTCTTGGGTCTAGGTAAACCCTAACCGATTTTCCAGGGCTCATTTCACCAGCGTCGTGAGTCTTGGGGGCAGCCTTCGGATTTAGAGTTGTTCGCAGAGCTCTATGCCATCCGTTTTAGTAGCATTATAGCATTGCTGTAGCTTTTTGTGTTATGGTAGTACTGTAGTAGTACTACAGCATTATATAGTAGTATTATAGGATCGCCCGGGGCCGGCATCGTGAGCATCAGTTCGGTGGCCAGGCGGAGGTTATTGGTAAGTGTTGTTCGTGGTTTCTTGGCTGTTCGGTCTGGGCTCCCAGGCTTTAGCCGACAAGCTCATCAGTGAGGAGTGGAAGCGCGCCGGCGATACGGAGCGCACGTTCAGCCGCACGGTGAAGTAATGCTTTGAGAGCTTGCAGAAGGGTACCACAAGGGTTCGTGTAGGGGGTAGCGTGCACAAGGGTACCATAAGGGTTCTTTCAGGGGGCCCGGGCGGTTGAGGAGGTTTACATGGACTTCCAGTATATATAACAACCGCTTCACAGACTCACAGAGCTCTGAATCCACAAACCCCGAAACCTCTGCAGTGAAGAATTTCTCTGAGGTTTAGGGTTATTGGTATACTGTAGGAGAACTGCACGAATCAACATGGTGGATTCTCAGCCGAGGAGTTGCGCCAAACTTTAAGACTCGAACCCTGAGCATCATGATCTAAACCTTTAGTCCTATACTCTGCAAATCCCGACCTCCGATATTCCTTTGGAAGCGCTTTCCAATAGTATATACTATATAGGGAGTACTTCCAGGCCAAAGTCAATCATATTGGGGTACACGGGCCAAGAGACCATAAACCCTTATAGAACCCTTAAAGAAGCTCTGAAGGGTGCCCTTACGCAGCCTTATTTGGGTACATGGACCTTTATACCCTAAACCCTTATAGAGCCATTGTGGATCCCTTAAAGGAACCCTCATGGTACCCTGAAATGGAACCCTATCTGGGTACATGGAGCCTTAGGGTTTGGATCCAAGGTAAAGGTGGCAATCCCCAACACCCCTAAACTCCTAACCCCTTTTCCCCAAAACCCCAAACCCCTAAACCCCTTAATTCCCTAACCCCCAAAACCTAAAGCCACCAAAGCCCTAAACTGTAAACCCCCCAAAACCCTAAGCCCTAAACTAAAAGTCCTAAACCCTGCATTATAAACCCTAAACCCTAAACTATACACGTAAACCCTATAAACTATAAACCGGCCCCAAACCCTAAATGAAAAAAGTGTTATAAACCTTAAACCCTAAGCCCTGAGCCTTTTTGGGACCGTAACTACGGATTTCTGAAGTTAGATGCAGCTGCACTAGCGGACGGAAAAAGGTGTTCAAAAAAAGAACCTTTTTGGATCTAAGGTAAAGGTGGCCTTAGCTTCTTGGCCCCTGTGGCGGAGCCCAAAGCGAAGGCTTCTCGCGCGGAGGCTGCCAGCTCGTTAGGCTTTACCCAAAGGCCCCAAAGTAGTTCCTTTTGGGGATATCCTTATAGGATTCTATATATGAACCCCAACAAGGAACTACTTTGGGGCCTTAGGGTACGATACGCCCTAACCCTAAACACTACTTTGTTTGCATGTTGCTTTTTATGTTGTAGGACTTGTAGGATTTACGATACACTTTAGGTTTAGGGACTAGGGTTTTGGGTTTAGGGTTTATAACCGTAACCTACAGTTTTGCGTAGGTTCTCATAATACTGTAAATTACCCTTATATGGGATATATAGGGACGGGATATGATTTAACTTGCTATAATGATCCCTATTATGGTTTATGATGCAGGGCGTATGAGGGGTTTAAGTTTCAGGAGTTTAGGACTTTAATGAGGGTGCAGGGGTTTAGGGTTGATACTGGGCTTATGACTGGGTTCTTGGTAAGGGATTAAATTTAAGAAGCATAATAAGGAAACCATATTACGCACGCCAGATCCCCATTATGGTTTATGGTACAGGGCTTATGAAGGGTTGTCAGGTTTAGGGTTCAGGGTTTAGGGGCTTTCGGGTTTAGGGGTTTAGGGTTCAGGGGTCTTGGGGTTTAAAGTTACCCTAAGCCGCTTGTGACCTCACCTTGAAGGGAGGTTGCTCCAAGTTTGAAGCCCAGAGGGTTTCTCAGCACTGTGTAATCTGAAGGTTCCCAGGTGCGAAGCAAGTCGGGCCAAGTCCTACACGTTCTTGTAGGCTTTGATGGGTGCTGGGTATTTACTATAGGGTTTAGGGTTTTGTATTGAGGAAAGTCTTGGAAGATGGACATCTACTAGTCAACCGGATGAGGCCGCACACTTCAGGGCATGAAGCGCGTTGTTTAAACTCTAGGTCCCTAGGGACCCACCCCTGTGTGGCAAATGCGGAGGAGCCTGTGGAAACTGCACCCCGAGACTTACCGAGCGTCTTGCCGCCCCGACGCCGGCAACCAACGGGGACAGGTTGGAAGGAGCGGAGGAGTTCGGTGTGGTCTACAGGATAGAGGTCGAAATGACTAGTAAGACTAGTAAGAGTATCCCCTTAAAGTCCCTGCATGATTATACTATAGTATATCCCACGGCCCTAGTCCAAGTATTAAGGTGCCCGTAAGTTGCCGTCCTGATGGCAGCGCACCCACATTATGCTAGTCGCCACTAGAGTAGTGTTTCAGAAGTTATCCTCTCGTGTGATTGCCTTTACTCTACATCGCCTCTTGTACCTTTCCTGTTGTCGGGACCTCCTGTCAAGCATCAGGCAGAGGGACACCCTTGTCATGTAGCGTTTCTGGGAACCTAAAACCGTCGATCATACCAGTTTTGGAGCCTGTCGTCACTTTTTCGAGGCTGGGGGATGCTGACGGTTGAGCGCTTCACGGGTTTGGTGTTCTCAGGCAGACTCAACAGTATCATCATGATCACCAGAACCATCACAAACATCATCATCGTCATCATCATCATCATCATCACCACTTCTGTTTTCTCGTTGTCGTTCAGAGTAGTTGAGGGCCCAGGTGCAGGGCTTTGGGGTGGCTAAGGTACAAAAGTAATTAGAAAAAACATACGCTAGGTGTTATACTCTTAATTCATATGAGGCACGTAGATACAGCAAGGCTAAACACACATCTGCGTCAGTCGCTGCGCCCTCGAGAACTGGCTCCGGGTAACCAGGGAAATTGCCCCAAAACTCGGCGCGCTCGCATGAAGTCACGAAGTTGAAGCCATCTTATGCACCATGCCATAAACCCTAAGCCCTAACCTTAAACTTGTTTTGTTCAAAAACACCGCAAAATTTCTGCACTCGTCATCATAAATCTATGAGAACGTGTCCACAGGACGGACCGGGCACAGATGCCTCCGACACAGCCTTCCAGTGTCCTGGTAGCAGTGCTTCACCAAAACACCACCACTTTAAGGTTTAGGGTTTCTAGTACCATGCAGGCCTGATTGTTACCCCTATACCACCCACCTTCAGGGTAGTGTTCGGGGCTTGAGTGCTATTGAGCTCGACGCTTGCGGTTCTTATGACTAAATACTTCAACCCCTGACTCCTATGATCCTCGCTACAATTTCCGCTCCTTCTGGTTGAGAAAACGGGTAGTTTGAAGGAAGCCTGTTTGGCACTTGTTAAGGTGGAGCATAACCCCGAAACTACGAGCAGTTCACTGCGCACACGTTTGTCTGCCGATGTCCTCGGCGAGAAAGGTTTTCACGATCAGTGAGTGCTCGTTTTAGGGTTTAGGTTATGTACTATTCTGTCCAAGACTGCCAGAGGCACAAGGCATGGTTAGGCAGACATGTGGAAGTGTTGCAGTTGATGCTGTGGGCCGCACCGCTTTAAGTGACATGCTTTGCTTTGCATCATGTCCTGCCAACAGTAACCTTAATCACAAACCCAAATCCCCCAGAAACCGTGCTTTTCGCAAGGCTAGTTGCTACCTCAAACACCAATCCTAAACCCTAACCGTGCAAGCTTGGGAAGAAGCGCAGTGTGAGGAATTCATGAACTCAGTAAGCCCTACACCCGAAGCCCTTAACCCTAAATCCTAAGCCCTACACACCGACAGCCCTACCCCAAGCCCTAAACCCTCAAGCCTTAAACCCTGAAACCCCCAAGCCCTAAACCCTAAACCCCTTAAACCACCAAATCCCAAAACTCGAAGTCCTAAACCCTAATCCCACAAAGCCCCTAACCCCCAAAACCCAAAACCCCCTAAACCCTAAACTCCCAAAACCCTAAACTCTAAGCCTTATAAACCCTACACCTTAAAAAAAAATCCTACGCCCCCTTCTGAGCTCTACAGGCAGTCTTGGCCACAGCAAAAGGCGAAACGCGCCGACTCGGAGAAGCGCCGCGCTGGCACAGGGGGACCTACGGTTGATGATATAAAACCTGCATTACCTTAAGGACTCTAGACTATGGGAATTATGGTATATTCCTTATTATGGACCCTAGACTATGGGAATTATGGTATATTCCTTATTATGGACCCTATGGTATATTCCTTATTATGGACCCTAAACTATGGGAATTATGGTATATTCCTGACTATGGGTTATGCAGGATTTATATCATCAACCGTAGCGCTTGTTTTAGGGGACTTAGGTTCTGGGAGACCGAGGGCTTTGCTTTGGGGGGGGCATAAGGCTTACTTGGAGGGTCGGGGGACTTAGTAAGGGGATTCTAAGGGTTCCTTTAAAGGGCTCTATAAGGGTAGTATAGGGTTTAGGGTTTAGGGTTCAGGGACTTAGTAAGTAGGTAGTAAGTAGACTTATAAGTACACTAAAAGGGACCCTAATTGGGGTTATGGTACTTATAAGTCCCTAAAATTTCCAGTTACTAAGTCCTCCGACCCTCCAAGTAGGGGCTAAGGTTTAGGGGGACCTAGGGCTTTTTAAGTGGACCAGGGTTCAGCGGACCTAGGGGTTTAGGGTTTAGGGTGCAGGGTTTAGGGGCTTGGGTGACCTGGGGTTTGTAGGGTTTGGGGTTTCAGGGTTTGCGGTTTAGGGTTTAGGAGACCTGTGGTTATTGCAGGGAAAACATCCGTTTCGGGTTTAGGGTTGAGCCTGGCAGACAGGACGCTCTGATTGAGGCCTTAAGGGTTTTTAGAGTTTCAGGGTTTGCGGTTTAGGGTTTAGGGCTTTAGGGGTTAGCGCTTTAGGAGTTTCAGGGTTTCAGGGTTGAGGGTTTAGGAGTTTAGGGGTTGGTAGGTTTTGTGGGTGTAAGGATTTCGGCCCTAGACCCCTTACTTGGAGGGTGGGGGGACTTAGTAACTGGTCATTTTTGGGACTTATAAGTACCATAACCCCAATTAGGGTCCCTTTTAGTGTACTTATAAGTCTACTTACTACCTACTTACTAAGTCCCCCGACCCTCCAAGTACTGGCCCCATTCAGAAACCATCAAACTGCTACTCAAAAAGCTGACTTACACCCTTTGAACCATATGAAAACCGCTGTAAAGCCCCGTAAGAAGAAAAATCCCAACACCCACACTGCCCTCTAAGGGAGCCCTGTTTAGACCCAAACCCCTAAACCCCAACTCGCAAATTCCCAAACTCCTAAACCGTGAACCCTTAACCACCATGAACCCGCAAAGCCCACCACTTGGAGGGTCAGGGGTAGTTACAAGTGGGATTATAAGTCCCCTAATATGGGTTGTACGTACTTAAAACCCTACTCATAAGTACCCATGAACCTCCAAGTAGGCCCTAAACCCTATACCCTTGTAGAATCCCTATAGATCCCTTTAAAGGGACCCTTATAACTACCCGTTAAAGGCGAGGCGTGGCTTCGGCGATGGGCCGGGAGAGAAAGCATTCCTCCTCGCACAAGCAGCCACTTAGATGGAAGGGCTCGGGCTCAGAACCCTAAACCCAGGGTTCAGGGGTTTATTGCTTATAGGGTTTAGGGCCTACGGGGTTTAGAGTTTTAGGGTTTAGGGTTTTGAAACCCGGGTGTATCGGTTTCGAGGTTTAGGAGAATCCTAAACCCTAAACCGAGGATCTAGGAAGTTTTGAGAGGTTGTCGGAGGGTGTTTGGGGTTTAGGCGGGTTTGGGACGGCTTGGCGGATTTCAGGATTTGGGCCTCCTGCGCCTGGGTGCGGGCATGGGGGGGAAAGGGGCGAAGGGCTTAGGTGATACCCTAAACCCTATTCGAACCTGAGCCCAGAGGTCGAAATGGGGACAGGTCGGACACATGTAGACTTGCATGCAAAAAACTTAAACCCCCATAAACCCCTAAACCCGAAAGCCTAAACCCCCAAACCCCTAAACCCTCAACCCGGAACCCTAGGTCGTTATGAACACATTTAAGACTTCCCTTTGCCAAGGATCCGGCCTTTGGGCCCCGTCCTACCCCCGGCGCGCCAGGAACGTGCCGCACAGGGCTGAGGAATGGAGCGAGCTGGGACGTCGGAATCGACAATTTCACGATTTCCCTAATCCCTAAACCCTAATCCCTAAACTCTAATCCCTAATCCATAAACTGTAAACCCTAAACCCCAGTCCCTAGAACCAGCACCAACTTAAAACATATTATGGAAATTTGAAGCCCCAAAGTCCGTAAAACCCTATGCTTGAACAGACACTCTCATACCAAAACCTATTTCGTTGGCGATCCCTTTTCAAGATTTGTTGGATGGTCGGGTGTAGTAATCGGGGGCAGAGATAAATAACACTATGATTACAGCAATCGTATTACGACGAAGAAGAGCTAGCATGATGCGACGATGACAAGGATGTCGGCGAGGATGGGGAGGACGACGATGCCGGTGGGTGGTGACGATGGCAGCCATGATGCTGATGCTAGCGATGTAGGATGTTGATGAATTCGGTTTAGGCCTCAGTGCCGGTCGGCATGGTCGTTCTGCATTCGCCCCAGCAGCTGATCAGTTCATGCCCGTCCTCCGTTAACCCGAAACCTCGAGACAAATTCGTAGTGACTGGCCTGGACAGACATCCCATCTTGGCTTTGCTCGCGTTTCACCGTCTCACGGCGGCCAAGAGCTGACCCGAAGTATCCAAGTCGGCTCGGGGAGGTGTGGCTCTGGGGATCGCATGACTCCGAAGCCGCACTACCTAGTTCTTGCAAAACTGTGCAGATAGACGCAGACACACAGAGCCAGCATGTGTGCATCTATGGATGCATGCAGTGCCATGTAATGTAGTGTGATGTACTGTAGCGTGGTGTGAAGAGTGCAGTGCCATGTGGTGCAGCGTGATGTACTGTGGTGTGGTGTAGAATAACTGTGTGTCTGTATGTATGTGTGCATGTGTGTTTGTGTCTGTCTCTGCGTGCGTGTTCATTTTTATCTTTACATGTAAATGCATATACACATATATACACAGTATGCACGCACACACACACACACACACACACATCTTGGCACACGTGTGTATGTGTATATATGTAATTGGGCACGCATACGCACACGCACACACACACACACACACACACACACACACACACACACACACACACACCACCACACCACACACACACACACACACACACACACACCACACACACACACACACACACACACACGAGCGCGCACCTTCACATATATATATATATATATATATATATATATATATATATATACATATATTGTATGTATACTTATTTACAGACACATGTATGATGTTGTATGCCTTTTATGTGTATATACATATATATATATATGTGTGTGTGTGTGTGTGTATGTGTATATATATATGTATATATACATACATGTGCATATTGGTACATGTATATGTGTATATAGTCACCAAGTCACACCCCTCAGCCAATGGCCCAAGATCCCAAACCCGCGAAACTTCGATCGCCTCCAAGAGTTTTTCTTTCACGATGAGACTCATGAGCAGTCTTCTAGCCACAGGGGTTGCTGGGATGCGTGACGGCTGGATGCAGCGAAGTCAACAAGCCTCCACGTCGGATTACTTGATGTCATGCTCTCTGTTTAGCAGAGAGGTTCAGGGTTTAAGCTTCAGGTCAGAGAGGTTCATGGTTTAAGGCTTAAGGTCAAAGGGGTTAAGGGTTTAAGGCTCAAGGTCAGAGGGTTTTAGCGTTTTTAGGGTATAAGGCTTAAGGTCAGAGGGTTACTACAGCCGGATGAGCCTTGCGGTGGCAGGGGCCGTCATGGTGGTTAAAGGGTCCGTCGCATCCCGGAGGCCCGAAGGTCCAAAGGGCCTTGGTAGCATGTTACAGTATGTTATATTGTAGAATATTCTCGTATACTGTAGCATATTATAGTAAGAGTAGATTGTAGAAGATTTTCACATACTGTAGCTTATGGTATCATCGTATGTTATAGTATACTACAGTATATGATTGAAGGTGAAAGTCAGGCATGTACAGTGAGCCTGAGCGAGAAGGGCTCAAAGTCGAGCGCTGCGCCCCTGGGATTGATGGCATGCGCGAAGCGCATGCGAGTCAGGACCCATAGGGCAGGGTCGGGTCACAAACCCCTGAGGTGTAAAATCGTAAAATCAGATGAAGAGGAATTTCTCTCCGACCTCGTTGGCTTTAGTAACCTGGGACACCAGAGCAGCCACAAGCACAAGCGTTCGACCCCAAACCCTAAACCCGTGATACTTCAACCCACCGACAACACAAGCTTAATCCTCCCAAAAGTGCCGAGCATGGTGCATGCGAAGTGGTTTGAGGTGCGGGAGTGTGAAAAAGAGCTCTGGGCCTAAACCCAGCGGAGAATACGGCGTATGTAAAGGTTTGCAGCCGGTTCTTTAGACTTCATAGCCTGAAGCCGCACATGAGAGTTTCCGAAAATAGGGGACCCAATATTGTGTGTGTGTTCCTTGTTATAAGGAGCCCAAAATACGGCACCCCTGGTTTCCGGAAACTTCCACATATCGCTAGTCGCGAGAGTGAGGTGTCGGGATGTGGGCCGATCGAGAGTGCCAAAGCCCCCAAACCTTCCATTTGGGTGGTTGTCAGAATTAGGATCCCTTTTGGGGTCCTTATACTATATTAAGGTCTCCTATTTTCGGAAACTCCCCTTTGGGTGGTTGTCAAAATTAGGGTCCCTTTTTGGGTACCCTGAATATTAGGTGCCGTTTTTTAAATAATGGGCCAAAAGGGACCCTAATTTTGACAACCACCCATTTAGATCACTTGAGGGCTTAGGGTCTCTACAAGTCCAAAATCAGACCCCTGACCCCGCAGGGTTTCTGGTTGAGGGCTTATAGGGTTAGAGGTTCTGGGCTTATGGTTTGGGTTTCCCTAGCCGTTTCATGTAGAAACCTGATTCAGAAATCCTGGGCCTATATCCCCCAAAAGAGTGGGATTCATTTCAGGAACCCTAACAAAGGCCCAAGGTTTCTTGATCAGGTTCCTACACTATTATAGTACCCTTATAGATCCCTTATAGTAACCCTTATATAGACCCCCTTTAAAGGAACCCTAATAAGGGCCCAAGGTTTCTTAATCAGAACTTTACAAACTTAACCTGACCGCCATCCTGGCTCCAGCACGCCATCCTTGATGATGGCCAGCTGAGAAGGGTCTACCAAATGCATCAGTTTTGTCTCCACGCATTGCAACTCGGATCTGCAAGAAAGGCTGTGATCTAGGGCCTTAAAGGGAACTCCAGAAAGTTGGAATATGGTTTCAGGGTAGGATACCCTATAATTTACCTAGGATAGGCATATTCCAACTTTCTCTGGCTTTTGCCTTAAAAGATAGCAAATTCTTCCGTTCCCTAGAGTGGGGATTCTGCCGTCGAGGGCTTTGGTGTTTCACGGTTGAAGTCAGTTGCCAAACTCTGCTCGAATCGAAGGTTCCTCTTCAGCCGGATAATTGCCATCAGAGTCCTTGCAACAATCTGCTACAAGCCTAATCACCCATGCAATCCCTTTCAGCCTTCATCATGATGACGATGAGGGCTTTGGGCTTGCTGTGACGTTAAATTGTGCTTGCTGCTAAGAAGAGTCATGGCAATATCAGTGACAACCAGGAGATATAGTCGTGATGGAGGGTATTTGGAGATTTTGCTCGCTAACGAGTACGCGGACCCCAGTCTAGAATACATCCCGAAAGTTGGAACATGGAGTAAGCATGTTTCGTGCAAGGATGCCCTTTGCTTTACCTTACGGGGCATCATGATCGCATTTTTCTGGATTCTACTTTACGGCGTACAGTATTGGGTCGACGTGGGCGCCGACAGCTGTGCCTCGGAGGTGAAGGCCGTCGTTTCCAACTGTTTGGGTGCTGGTGATCTTATGGCAGAGCAGATCTTGATGTCTTCTCATGGCTAGCATTACGGTCATGACATGATGGTGATGATGATGAGTAGGAGGAGGATGACGACGATGATGCTGATGATGGTGATCAGGGTGATACTGATGATGATCATTACCCTAAACCCTAAACCGGTGATGATGACTGTTGGTAGCCTTGGCCCCGGCGAGAAAGGGCAGATGTCGCTTCCTGCAAGAGAACAAGACCAGGGCCACCCCGTGGACAACTTCGCTTTCCAGCATCATTCCCTCAATTCAAACCCCCGAACCCTGAACCCTACTAGAATATCATATCATGTAATACAAAAGAATATACGATACAACCTCACTATAGCTTCATACCTTATAAATATACAGTATGAATAGAACATGCTATATCATAGTAAGTATACCATACCATAATGTAATTCTAAACCTCAAACCCCCGGCCCAAAACCTATAACCAGCCTGGATCAAGGCGAGCCTGGCTACTGCTAGCCGTAGCAGGGGCACTGCGTCCACAGGGCGAAGGCTTCTGCAGCGCTGGCTGCGGGACGGAGTTAGGTTTAGGGGTTGAGGCTTAGGGTTTAGGGGTATGTTATTGCATACTACAGTAGCTTGTTGTATGTGGCACAGTATGTGATATGTGAGTTTCATGGCAGCATGTAGATGTATCTACAATTGTCTTGATAATTTAACTTTGAGTTGCGCTTCGAATGTCAACCTACTTGTGGCTAGATGTGATGATTCGTCCTCATGTTTCCAGGCTTGTTTATTATCGCATCGCACGACATGTGTGTTTGATGCCTCTGGTCTTGCATCTGGGGTACTTCACGCGTTGCTGTAAGTAGCGAGAAAGCCCTGAAGAACAGACACTCTCGTCGGTAGTGTTCCTGTAACATTAGTAGTAGCTATAATTTCGGGTGTAGGCTGTCTATGATGCGTACCTTTGGTTAGTAGGGAATGGAAGAATGGTAGTAATAGTAATTATAGTTGTACCCCATTCCTCCACTCCCTACTAGCTAAAGGTAGGAATATTGACAAGTAAGTATAGTTTAGGAGCTGCCCCCACCTGTAATAGTGACTATAAGGATTATATTCGGGCCCCATTATATTCCTATTATACCACTATTACAGGTTGGGGGCAGCTTCTAAAGTATAGTTTAGGAGCCCATGAACCAGGGGTCTGATAATTCAGATTCCTATGCCCCGAGGTCTCAACCCGGAAGTCCCTCTTTACGGCGGTTTAGGGTTTTAGGGTTAAGGGTTCAGGGGTGCAGGGGTTTAGGGGTTTAGGGGTTTAGGGGTTTAGGGGTTTAGGGGTTTAGGGGTTTAGGGGTTTAGGGGTTTAGGGTTTAGAGTTTAGGGGTTTAGGGTTTAGAGTTTAGGGGTTTAGGGGTTTAGGTTTTGGTTGAACTGTTTTGCTGGCTCTCCTTCGAAGCTTTGGTGCCTTGTGGCCTTGGAGGTGAGTTTCGGCTACGAAGACGAGCCTTTCGTTCCTAAGCCCTAAACTTAGGGGTACTTAGAAATAGTCTTTAATTTTTGGTTGTTATAATCCTTAAGAAACAGCTAAAATTATAGTTTTTGCTAGGGTTCTAAGTTCAGTATAGTAAACCCCTAAACCGTAAACCCCTAAGCCCCTCAACCCCAAACCCGTAGACCCTAACCCAAATAATAATGCCCTAGATGCGAAAGCTCTGAAGCCCTCAATTGGCTCAGCCCCTGAACCAAGACACCGAAATCCTAACCCCTCAACCTACCAGCTTAAACCTTCAACCTACGAGCCCAAACCCTCAACCCTCAACCTACAAGCCTAAACCCTCAACCCTCAACCTACAAGCCTAAACCCTCAACCTACAGGCCTAAACCCTAAACCCTCAACCTACCAGCCGAAGCCCTCAACCCGCAACCTACCAGCCGAAACCCTAAGCCCTCAACCTACAAGCCTAAACCCTAAAACCTTAACCTACCAGCCGAAACCCTAAGCCCCTCATAGTTTGGGCAGGTTGGGTCGGTGAAAAGCTGCGAAGCTGTCAAAAGCTGTGAAGCTGCCAAGAGCTGCGAAGCTGCCAGAAATGCTGAAGCTGCGAGAGGCTGTGAAGCTGCCAAAAGCTGCGAGAAACGCTGAAGCTGCGAGAAGCTGCCAAAATGCTGTTAAGCACGCCGCGCGCCAGAAAACACGCGCCACGCAGCGCGCCAGATTGTGCATTTGCCGCTTCCAGCACCAGTTTAGGGTTCAGGGGTTGGGGTTTCGGTTTAGGGTTTGGGGTTTAGGGAAGAAACGCCAACATATCAAGAGTGCATTGCAGCGCCATAACGCGCCAAACGCGCACACAGCTTCCAAGCTTCTGACAGCTTCAGCGTTTCTCGCAGCTTCACAGCTTCTAGCAGCTTCAGCGTTTCTCGCAGCTGCACAGCTTCAGCAGCGCCAGTCGATTCTGGACCCCACCTGCCCAAACCCTGTAAGCCCTCAACCTATAAGCCTAAACCCTAAACCCTTCACCTACCAGCCGAAAGCCCATGACCTCTAAACCCTGAACCTGGAAGCCTCAACCCAAAGCCTGGACCCTACCAGCCGAAACAGGCCCCAGCATCGACACCGATCGGGACCGAGTGCTCTACTTCTCTCCCGTGGGGCCAAGCTTCAGGCGGGCTTAGGGGTTTTAGGGGTGTTAGGGGTGTTAGAGGGGTGTTAGGGTTTGTTTTAAGGGTGTTAGGGGTTTTAGGGTTGAGGGTTTAGGGATTGGGTTTAGGGTTTCGGTTTAGTGTTTAGGGCGATCTGTGGAGTTAACGGTTTTGCGGGTCTGTGCTCTGGATTCTGGTGTTGACCATCCGTCTTGCTATGTGGGAGTTTCCGAAAATTAGGGGTACCTTTTTGGGGTCCTTATACTATTTAGGGTATTATATTTGGGTCCGCTATTTTCGGAAGCTCCCATGTACATGCATCCTTGGGCATAACATTCACTGACGCTCTTTTGTTGCGTCGGTGCTTGGCTCATGCTTTTCTTTTCTGGCGTCCGGGATGTGGGGGAGTTGTGGCAAGTTGTGGCAGCGCGACTGGAGATAGTGTTAGCAAGAGGGCTTAAGTTAATTTAGGAACCTGATTGAGAAAAAATGTAGGAACCTGATTGAGAAACCCTTGGTCTTTATTCAAAGGGTTCCTTAAATGAGTCCTAGTATATTGGGGGTTGTAGGGCCAGGGTTTCTTAATCAGGTTCCTACATTGGTACAATAGCCACACGGCCTCAGTGTCACCTTCGAAGCTTCTAGGATCGCTCCTTTCAATGTCGGGCCCAATACCCTAGGGATCAAAAATAGCCCAAAAGCCTTGTTTTTATAGTATGGTCTTTGGGCCCAAAAGCCTGAATGTATGAGTCCTTGTGTTGATGATATCAATCCTGCATGACCCATAGTAAGGAATATACCATAATTCCCACAGTTTAGGGCCCTTAAAGTCATGCAGGATTTATATCATCAACCGTTAGATCCCTGGGGATAAACTCTTAAAGATGTCTGGGTGTCGGGGCTTCCCGGCTCTGACACCCCGAGAAACTGGTTGCGGCTTGGGTTATGGTACGGTTGATGATAGAAATCCTGCACTACCTCAAGGGCCCGAAACTGTGGGAATTATGGTATAGTCCTTATTATGGGTCATGCAGGATTTATATCATCAACAGCAGCTTAGGGCTGGCTCCTCGAAGCCTCTCGTGCCAAGCTCTCTCTCATGGCCGTATGGTAGGTCTACGCAATCTTCCTCAGAAGTAGGTGAAGTTGCATTTTCATATGATGACCTTAACCCCAAACGCTAAACCCAGTAGGAATATGATGACCATGTGCCTTCTTCTTCTGCTACAATCACCCACGCCTTAAAGTAAAAGCCAGAAAGTTGGAATATGATTATCCTAAACCCTTAATGGTAAATTATAGCGTATCCTACCCTGAAACCATATTCCAACTTTCTGGAGTTCCCTTTAAATTCACCCCAACCTGCCGAACCCGGAGCAGATGGAGCTCCAGAGCCATTGCTCGCCCCGTATTCTCCAGGACCTCACAGGCTTACCCGGAGGCTCCATAGTATATATATATATATATATATATATATATATATATATACATATATATACATATATATATATATAGAGAGAGAGTTAGTTCCTTTTTTTGGGAGTACGTTATAGGATCCTAAATATGCATCCCAAGAAAGAACTACTATGGAGCCTGTGGTGCGACCCCCAGAGCCCCTCAATCCAATTCCGCACCTGCGTCACAGGCTCTCGGATGTTGGCTAGGTTGCCCAGCAGTAGATATTCCCTTTTTTGCGGTCCTAGGTTCCTTATCATGCTACCCAGAACCAAAAAGGGAGCCCTTTTTATTCCTAGGTTACCGGCGGCCGGCTCTAACCTACACCTCTATATAGACCCTAAATCGTTCTGCGGACCCCCAAAAGGAGCACTTTAAAACAAGAAAGCCTGGACCCTGAACCCAAGCTCCCGAACCTCGACACTGAACTTTGCACTACATCCCGAACCCCCCGCCGCGCAGGGAGCTCACAAAAAAGAACGTCTTGCACCTGGTCAGTTCAGGCTTGGACACTCAGACACTATCGGGCCAGAGCGCTTAGTGTTCGGGTGTTTAGAGTTCACAGTTTAGTATGTACGATACAGCAACCTTAAGAAATTGAATCAATGCTTTCACGGCTCGTGCTCGTGGAGTCCTCTAGGCTTGCTACTTGGAGGTTCAGGGGTAGTTATAAGTGGGGTTATATGTCCCCTGATATGGGTTAAAAGTATAGTTACCCTACTTATAGCCCTACTTATAAGTACCCATGAACCTCCAAGTACAGCCACCGGCCATGAGAGCGCTTTGCCCACTGCAGGGTCTGTTCGAAAAAACCCGGCCAGGCATAGTAGACGTCTTCCTGGCCCACTTCAGCGACTTGGATAACATCTACCAACAGGCTGCTTACTTGCTTGCCTGCCTGCCTGCATGCCTGCCTGCGCGCTTGCTTGGTTCCTTATTTGATTCCTTGCTTCCTTGCTTGCTTGCATGCTTGCTTGCATGCTTGCTTGCATGCCTGCGTGAGTGCGTGCACGTTTGCTTGCTTTCTTACTTTCTTGCTTTGTGGCTCCTTGCTTGCTTGCTTTCTAGCTATTTGTCTTGTTAACACATCTGCTCTTTTTACTTAGTTGATTTACGTAGGTAGTGATCATGTACTTTCAGACATGGTAAGATACTACGGTAAGATGTATCGGGGCAAGTCGGAGGAGCCGACTGGAAACCTAGTAGTACCCTTATTCCCTTTTTGTCGTCTTAGGTTCCTTATTAAGTTACCCAATACCAGGAAGGGAGCCCTTTTTATTGCTAGGTTACTGGGCATCCTAGTTAAGAAACCTCAAACCCTATAAGCTCTCAACCGTATTGGCCCAGGACTAGACACGGCCGACTGGCAACATCTGGACTGGTACAACCAATCCGTGAAGTATAGCGTAGCGCCTCTCGGATCGCACGTAGTAGGATTTGGAGTTTAGGTTTAAAGTAAACCGCATAAAGTTGGAAACCGGATTAAGGCCAAATAGTGCTGGGATCCCCTGTACATTACTCTTAAGGGTTGAGGCTATTCATTTTCCAACTTTTGGGCTTCTACTGTAGGGGTTTAGGGTTTTGAAAACTCGAGTGGCGCTTTGCAGGGACTATAGTGTGGGGAGATATTACTCTTGGACTTCTTTTGCAACGACTCTTTGTTTGTGTTCAAATTTTTTTTGGTCGCGGTTCGTACTCTTAGGTGGTTTGGCTTTAGGGTTTAGGCTGTTTAGCATTCAGGCTTTGGGATTTCAGGGCTCTTTGGGGGCACCGCTTGTGTGTGGTATTGAATCATCATTTTGGGATCGCTGAGGGCAGGCCCTTCTTTCCTGACAGAAGCTGAAACAGGATGCAGCTCACACGACCGGCGTAGTGAGTTTTCAGTTGCAATTAAAGTGGGGGGTTATCCGAAAGTTAGCAGAGCTTGGGTACGGCCCCCACTCAGTAACAGTTGGATAATATTCATAATATAGATATATTAGGACCTTAATAGTAGCCCTATTATAGACTGTTACTGTATGGGGGCAGTACCTAAAGTAGAGCTTAGAGCTTGGGAGGGGAAGTCTGGGGAGTCCTGGATCAGCCAGAGCTTTGAGGATCCGGGTCTCATACTGTTGATGATATAAATCCTGCATTACCCATAGTAAGGAATATACCATAATTCCCATAGTTTAGGGTCCTTAAGGTAATGCAGGATTTATATCATCCACCGTAGTGCGTCAGGCCCCGGCTTTGAGAAGGGCCTCGGATTTCAGGACCTGCCGGAGTTGTAGAGAGGCCTGAGGGTTTTATTCGGGACCTTCAAATACTCACCCCGAATCTCAAGTTGGGTTTTAGGATTTATGCATGTTTAGGGTTGAGGTTTTGGGAAAATTAGGGGTTTTAAAGTTGCAAAAGCCCAAACCCCACACTCAACAGTCCTTACAACCAAAGCATCATGGAATCTGGCTCGAGTGTGAGGGGTTGTGAACTCTGAAGACGCAAAATCTCAAGCTCCGCCAAAAAGCTCGGGACCAGTTTCTGCAGTTGAGATTTCCCAGCAATCCCATCAGCAGCTTTAGTAGTCGGTCTCGCACAGTTCAATGTTGTGAAATCCCTTTTTGACAGCTCCTGAAGAAGCTATAGATTCCGATTCCGGGAGCAGGAAGCTGTACAACTCAAGACCCTGAAACGCCGAAACGCGCAATACCTAAACCTCAAGCGTTAAGCCCCAACCTTCACGCCCGGAACTTAAATGCTATAACCCCCAACTTACATCCCAGAGCTGGACCACCAGGTACAGGGCTCCAAAGCCCACTTATGTCCTGAACGAGCTCGTCAACCAGCAGACGTACAGAGACTCATCCTAACCCCTAAACCCTAAACCCCCATTCTTGGTTTCTGGGGTCCTGGGCTTCAGGAGTTCAAGATGAACAGTGTCGGGCTTAGGGTTTAGGGGTGTAGGGTTTAGGGTTTTAGGGTTTAGGGGTTTAGGGTTTAGGAGTTTGGGATTTGGTGTTGTCGTTGGTTGAGGGGTGAGAGGGACGTGGTTACAGGGGCTTAGGGCTTAGGTTTCGGAGGGAGAGGCGCATTAGTTAGGAATTTGGTGGAAGCTTCTTGGAGGTGCAGCAAAGCATCCCGTTCATTGGGCTGAACATTCAGACACGGCACCTACTATTGGGTTTAGTTTAGGGTTTAGGAGTTTGGGATTTGGTGTTGTCGTTGGTTGAGGGGTGAGAGGGACGTGGTTACAGGGGCTTAGGGCTTAGGTTTCGGAGGGAGAGGCGCATTAGTTAGGAATTTGGTGGAAGCTTCTTGGAGGTGCAGCAAAGCATCCCGCTCATTGGGCTGAACATTCAGACACGGCACCTACTATTGGGTTTAGGGTTTAGGGTTTAGGGTTTAGGCGAATTCTGGATGGCCTCTGCGCTGAAGCCCCTAGCAACTCGAAACCAACACATTGGCTGTGTGCCTGGCACGTTGTCAACTAACATGGAATGACGATTGCAGGACACAAGCTGCAAGATGGCATTGGCAAATTTTGCCATAGTAGTTGTTCTTGCTCATGCACTGGGATATGTATGCAATGTCTCTCCAGTTGTGCTTGGTGCCGGGGCATAATTACGATGCGCGACCATGGTGGGGCTGACTTGTACTCAAATTCCTTGCGTTACTTTGCGTAGGAGTACAGTAAGAGCATACATCGCCGATTAGCCTTCCGTCCTCGTCCTCCTACTACGAAGCCGACGACCACGATTACTAGTGCCGCCAGTATCGCCACTACGACGACTGCCACTCCTATGCTTTGATAGTTGCCATGTGCTCGACTTGCTTGATCCTGCCGGCTTCATGGCGTGAGATGGACAGATGGCTTCATGCCCCATGTCCCTGCAACAGAAGCACCGAAGGCCACACAGCTAACAACGTGTGGGGAGTGTCCCGAATCCTTGGGCTGGATGTCCGTAGACTACTTCGAAACCGTGGGCCCGTTGCGGATGCATCAGTAAGCGGGGCATCTCAAGTAGGAGCCCTTGGGATCCGAATCTTCAGCATGTCCAGAACGCCCTAAACCTCTGTAATGAACCTTCCCGGACATGGAAAGTCCCAGTAAGGACTCACCGGTTACCGGTGGTTCTGGGTCGCAGATGACAACATTGACTTCACCCATCTCGACGTTTCGCGTACCGGGGCTGCACACATGAAGTGAAACCTGCAGCCAGCAAGTCCTTCTTCCTCCATCCTTCGCAACGAGGTCATGCGAGATGTCTTACACTGACACAGGATACTCAGTCCTGCAATCTCGAGTTCTTCTATAACCCTCCGTCAACCAACCCTCCGCACTCCTCGAGGCTTGAATCCCAACTAAGCGTCGAACCCGAAATCCCAGATCCCCGATCCCGTACAGATCCCTCATTTCTAAGCCGAAGGCACCCCATACTTGGAGGTTCATGGGTAGTTATAAGTGGGGTTATAAGAAGGATAACTATGGTCATGAGTCATAACCTATATTAGGGGACATAACTCCGCTTATAGCTACCCATGAACCTCCAAGTACACACTGCCTGAAACTCCGAGCCCGAAACTCAAAAAGCAACAAAAAACGCGAGGCCGAAGTCCAGATCCCTCTCCTTCTGTTTCCGGGCTCCGAAAACGGTTTAGGGTTTAGCGTTAACTATACCAGCTGTTTCCCTTTGTGATCTTTATGATAAGAGTACCTATACATAGTCTGTTTCTTATACCCCAAGACCCTCCTCTAGTCATTGAGGCCCGTGTATTATGGTCTTAAAGCCATCCTTTCCGCCGGATGAGCGCTAGTATAAGGGCCTTAAGACTTCGTTCGGGTTCCTTTCTTAATACTACAGCTAGAGTACGGTGCTCCCAAAATAGGCCCTATCTTAGGACAACTGTAATAAGGAGCCCCCCAAAATGGGCCCTATCTTGGCACAACTATAATGAGGAGCCCCCAGAAAAGCCCCTATCTTAGTACAAATATGATAAGGAGCTCCCACAAAAAAAGGCCCTATCTTAGGCTACACCAGTTTGGCTGCGGAGTCCGGAGCGAGCATCGTCCAGCCTGCAGCCAGGGATCTCAGATTTTTGCCGGATTTTTGTGTTCCGCTGTAGGGTCAAAAGATTTAGGTGTTTTGGGGTGGGGGTTTAGGAGTTTAGGGGTTTAGGGTTTAGGTGTTTAGGGGTTAGGGTTTAGTGGGTTAGGGCTAAAGGGATGCGACGGGTTTCGGACGTGGGATTCAGGCTTTGGGCTCCGGGTTTGGGCTTCTGACTATTTCCGAGTGTAGGGTCTATGTTGGCAAGTTGAATACGAGTTGAGTGATGTGATGTTGTGTTTATCTAGCAGTCGTGGGCACAGTCTCCATATGGTGTATCATAGACTATGCAGACTCGCCACGAGGTCCCCAATCCTGTGGTTAGCAGTTATAAAGCTCTCAACCCCAAAACCCTGAGCCTAAAAGCCTAAACTCCCAGCCTTAAGACCCTCAAGTGTACAGAGCCCCAAGCACAGGAGAGGGACCTGAAAGCAACCACGCCAGATCCCTGCGCATGAAACTTCAACCGAACCCCTTTGAGCCTCAACTCGAAACCCTTAACCCTAAACCTCAACCTTCAACCTTAAACCTGAAACCTGAATTCTCCACCCTCAACCTTACCTGCGCGAAGGTTGAGTTCGACTCTGAGGGAATCCCGTCGCATGAGGCTGGATGCCAAGCAGGGGATTCTAACCGGGTGGGTATCTGAGATTTCAGAAGAACCACCCGCCCTCAGAGTTTGAGCTTGTGGAGCGATTTGGTAATGTAGGAACCTGATTAAGAAACTCTGGGCCTATAACCTATAACCCCAAAATAGTAGGATTCATATAAAGAGCCCTAATAAAGGCCCAAGGTTTCATAATCAGGTTCCTACATCAGGAGATGAGCCGTCATTTCAACGGCTCTTCAACACTAAAAGCCCTATCGAGCACGGCAAAAGCTCGTATAATAACCTCTTACAAAGCCCTGAAATCGAATCCCCGCGAAACTCCCTGGGAGATCAGCCGAGCGGTTTAGGGTTTATGAGGGGCTTTAGGTTCGCGATTGACATGGAAGTCCCCGGTGGCTGAGCACGTGAGACAACCTCAGCCTTTGCGTGCAGTTTGGGAGTCATCTAAAGTTCACCCATGACCATTCGGAGAATCTCCGCCGCAGACGTCTTGCTTTGAAGATCTTGATGAGGGGCTTCAGGGTTTTGGCCTGGGTTTGGGATTGCGGGTCTCTTAAGCATTTCAACTTCCTTCAGCCTCCGACCCTACAGCCTTCAACCCCACATCGGATTCATCAAACACGAACTTAGTCGTGAGCTATATATGAAAAGTTACGGTTCAAGCTTTGCATATATCTTCGCTATATTTCAAAGTGTAATCGCTTCTCAATCACCCTCTTGCTTGAAGCCTTGACCTATTCACAGCACTGTCCGAGATCGTGCTTGCCTACACCGGGGCTGTGCAGCTGCCCAATCACGGCTGGAGTGTCTTGGCAAATATTTCCAAAAAAAGATGTTGCAACCGATGCGATTTTTCAGTGTGGCCTCTATTTTTCCGCACTTGGATTCTTATACATGCATACATCATCACACATCTCTGTATGAATATGTATGACGGACGGACGCACAGTTTTTGTCTGCTGCGGTTGCTCCAAAGCCGCAGTTAAGGGCTGCTGCGTTGTTCTTCTGCTTCCAAGCTCCCAATTGCCCTGGGTTTAGGGTTTAGGGTTTAGGGCCCTCCTGCCGGTGTCTGGAGTCAAAAAAAATTTGTGGTCGGCGGCGTGGCGCACGCATGCAAGGTGCAGGAGATTCGGGCGAAAAGACGGTTCTTCTTATTGCCCATGAGAGCACCAATCCTGGGTTCTGGTCGAGGGGTTTTAAGTTACCATGAAAGGGATCTATAGTAAATAGAGTCAATCCTGGGTTCTTGTCAAGGAATTTAGTTTAAATTTCCATGATAGGGATCTATCGCAACTAATCTGGTTTCCGGATTCTCAAGGCCCTTCGGGGATAATGCTCAAGCTGGTCGACTGTAGACACACGCTGAGAGCAAGTCACTCCCAAGCTCTGAAAGGAAGAGCCTTGTCAGCTTCATTCGTGTTCACACCAGCAGCCCTTAAACCCTTAAACCCCTATCCCTAGACCCTAAACTCCAAACCCTATACCCTACGCCCAGAAACCTGCAACCCGAGGCCATAGCCTGTACCGCTACACGGACTTCGTGGAAGCTTCTTCCTCGGAATACTTTTTACTTGTTCTGGGCGTGTCGGGTGTGTTTTCTCTAGGGGTCGTCGGTTGTGTATTGCCCTTTTGTCGTGGGGCGCCGCAGCGGCCAGGAGTTTGACGTTTTGGGATGTTTTGGGAAAGCTAGTGTATCGATTGAAGATTTGGGCGGTGCGTTTATTAGTATTCTTATTAGTATTATTATCATTATTATTAATATTATTAATATGATTATTCTGATTATGATTATGATTATTCTGATTATTATTATTGTTGTTGTTATTATTATTATTCTTATTAGTGCCTCGCTCCGGTGTTGCTTTCGTGTTGGGCAGCTCAGGCGGTTTGCGGTGCAGGACTTGGATTGGGGCGCCCTAAACCTGAAAAGAAATCCCTAAACCAGGACCCCCAATGGCACTTTAATGGAGCCCTAATGGCCCTTAATAGTAGGCATTTGGGGTACGTTAGAGGGTAATTGGGGGGGTCTAGGAAGCATCGAACTACACCCGTAAACCCCACCCTTAATCTGAACCCAAACTCCCCTAAACTCAACCCTAAACCCCTAAACCCTATAAGCCCTAAACCCCCTACCCTAAACCCCTACCCCCTAAACCCTAAGCCCTTTTATAAACCCTCAACCCTTAATTTGCACTTGCAGGTTCATGGGTAGATATAAGTGGGGCTATACGTCCCCTAATATAGGATATAGCCATAGGTATCCTACTTATAACCCTACTTATAACTACCCTTGAACCTCCAAGTAGGCCCTAAACCCTATACCCTTATCGAATTCCTATCGATCTCTTAAAGGGACCCTTATAACTACCCATGAGCCTCCAAGCAGACCTAAACGCCTAAACCCCATAAGCCCTAAATCAACCCTAAGCCTCTCAACCCTATAAGCCCTGATTCCCTACCCTCAACCCTCAAACTGCAGACCCTCATCCCTGTAAGGGACCCTTATATATCTACCCATGAACCTCCAAGTAGGCCATAAATTCTATACCCCTATAAAATCCTTATAGATCCCTTTAAAGGGACCTCTTTATAGGGACCCTGACTCCCTACCCTCAATCCTCAAACTGCAGACCCCAGAAACTCCAATATCCCCTAAATAAGGGATATTGGAGTCTCTGGGACCCAGGTCCTACAGAATCCCTATAGATCCCTTTAAAGGGACCCTTATACCTACCCATAAAATGAAGCCTCAAACTGCAGACCTTTATACCTACCCATGAACCTAGAATCCCTATAGATCCCTTTAAAGGGACCCTTATACCTACCCATAAAATGAAGCTTCAAACTGCAGACCCAGGTCCCCTATACCCCTACAGAATCCCTATAGGTCCCTTTAAAGGGACCCTTCTACCTACCCATGAAGCCTCAAACTGCAGACCCAGGTCATGAGCCCGATGTTCTCCGTGGAGGCCCTCCGCGCCGCCTGGAAGCTCTACATCCCAGGCCTCGGCGCGCCGAAGCCGGGGGGGGGGGGGTTAGGGTTCCCTTTAAAGGGATCTCTAGGGCTACTATAGGGGTAGGTTAGGGTTCCCTTTAAAGGGATCTCTAGGGCTTCTATAGGGGTAGAGGGTTTAGGGCCTACTTGGAGGTTGGGTTTAGGGACCTCTTTCTTTGAAGTTAGGGATATAGGGCTTTAGGGACCTCTTCTGAGGTTCAGGTGGTTTAGGGTTTAGATATAGGGATTTCTTTTGATGTTGGGGTTTTAGGGTTGAGGGACTTGATTTGAAGCTCAGGGCTTGGAAATATCCTTTGAAGTTTGGGGTTTAGGGTTTAGGGACCCTTTTGTTGAAGCTTGGGGATTGGGCATCTCTTTTGAAGTTTGGGGTTTAGGGTTTAGGGACTTCTTCTGCATGCCGTTGATGTTTGGTGCAGACTATGCGGTGTTAGGGCGGGGCTCCTCCGAAATGGTGACCTCCTTCAGCAGCGCGGCATAATCTTTTTCTAATGAGATTTGCAAAGTTTCTTAAGAGCGTCGGCGATTCAGCACTGGAGGGTTCCGGTCAGGGCGCATTCTGTTGTAGAAACAGGCACTTCAGTTTCAAGCAGCACCAACTGTCAAGCAACAAAAATCAGCCTGACATGATGCCGAGTGCGTGTTTGTCATCAAGAACGAAAGGATATAGAAAAGCCACCAGACCGCTCGACTGAACTAGGCTTTACGGCTTCGAGGGCCCACGGGGAGCCGCAAAAAATGAGCGCGGAGTTCAAGCATGGATTCAAGCCCCAAACCCCAACCTTTAACCCCCCCCCAAAAAAACAGCATCACAATGAAGTTGGCAAGCGCAAACTTTCAAAAGCACGACACTTCTCCATTGTGTGCTGAGACTTGGGCAGAGGCTTGCGATGATGTAGAGGTCGGTCAGGCTATCTGTTGTTTTGAGGAGCTCTTACTAAGATCTCAGCCCGAATCTCGGATAATCTTCCGCGAGATTGGGGTGTAGAGTTGATAGAGTTCAGGGTTCAGCTTATGGATAAGCTGTTAAGATTCATACAGATACATGTGTAAATATAATATAATATAATATAATATAATATAATATAATATAATATAATTTAATATAATATAATATATATATGTATATGTATATGTATATGTATATGTATATGTATATGTGCGTACGTATGTATGTACATGTCATACTTTACCCATAGGCCCCAAATTAGTTCCTTTTGGGGATTACCTTATAGGATTCTGAATATGAACCCCAAAAAGGAACTACTTTGGGGCCTTAGGGTATAGCCCAGCTAAGAGGCTTGCGCAGCGACTTCGGCATGGATCAAGTTTGGTGCCGCTACGCAGCTCGGCTTGGAACTGTGGTCCATCACGGGTTTCGGGTATCTTCACCGACAGTAGGGGAGGGTTTAGGGTTTGGGGGCCTACATAAGTACCAAAACTATGTTGGGGGCTCCTTATTCTAATGATACAACAATGGGCCCCAAAACCCTGTTCTAATTCTATAGACCCTGGATGAGGGCTTGGCAGGCGGAGAGGTGGTGAGCGTTGCATGTGTGGTTTTTTTGTAGACATGGTAGCGCTTGCAGTGTCAGTGGACGGAATCTTAACATGAGGTAGGACCCTCGATAGTGTTCTTATCATAGCGGGGTTTAGGGTTTAGGGCAATAGCAGATTAAGCATTCCAGGCTCCTCGCCCTCACCATCTAACCTTAAGGATTTCAGGCCGATTGCTGCAGCCGGAAGTCCACAATCCAAAACCTTCAACCTCCCAATCCCGCATAATTTAATCATCCCAAATGCCCTAAACCCTAAACCCTAAACCCTAAACCCTAAACCGTAGCCCTGAGCCCGACACCCTCAACCCTTTAACCCTCAGCCTTCAAATTTGATCCAGCGTGCAGGTAGCAAGCCAGCTGTCCAGTTCGCACCCCAGCACAGGTCTTTCAGGACGTGCCCTTGAAGTGTATGTCGAGGTAGCCATCAACGTAAATTAACCGATTTGTGGGAGAAGATACTAACGATAACCTGCGACATGCATTCCCGAGCTTCGAGGGAAGTCGGATTCGGAGAGCTTAGACGCAATAAAGTTCTGAGTTTACGTTTAAATAAAGCTCAGGGTTTTGCGAGATGTTGATGCCTTAGCTTGCTTTGGCTCCGGGCTGCTGTTCTTCATAATCGTTTCAATATTGGTACATCCTTGTCCTTCGTCCTCTCTTGGCTATCGCACCAGTGGCAGCCAACTCCCGAGCCTAGTTGCCGAGAGCACAGCTATTCCCAAAGGGTCCAAGTATCATTATGGTATCTATTTATAGGGTATTTGGGGGGGTCGAAGTATGTACCATAATGATACCCTTTAGACCCCCCAAATACCCTATAAATATATACCATAATGATACTTGGACCCTGTGGGATTGGCATTGGCATCGAAAGCTGAAGGCCTCGGATTCTCGGGTCTGTTCTCGGGTATGTTCCGTGGCTACATGGACATAGGTATGATTCACGGTATGATGGTGGAATCATGTATCAACTCCTGTGGCCCCTCCCTGTCCACATCGGTTTGTGTCTCGGGGAGACAACGGCGGTGAGGAGCACTGCGATGACGAACTCTTGGTAAAAGTGGTGGCGGCGGTGAGCCGTAGGACCCTTGCGACGATGACGACGACAACGACAGGTCTGGCTCGGTGATTATGCATTAACAGTCTGTCGTCGCTGGTGGTGTCTGGGACGCTAACTGTGGTGCTACTGCTTCAGATGGGGAATGCCGATAATGCACGTGGTGTGGATGTTGTACTCATTGTGGCACTAAGCTTGATGCTGACGCCGTGGCGAACGGTTCATGTCGCTGATGATGAACATGGTTTCGTGTGAAGATGAAGGTCGACTTGTTGGTGAAGTCCATCGAAGTACCGGACCAGTAGATGTAGATGTAGCATGAGGAGGATAAGGAGAAATAATCCTTTATGCTTCAAGCACAAAGAGCCCGAGCCCCGAGATCCAAAACCCTGAGGCCCATCCGATCGGACCTGCGCGATCATTGATGCCGAGCACATGCTGCTGGACTAAGACATTGGCATGGAGGATGTATAGGTTTATTCGGCTTTGCCTTCCCTTCGAAGCTAGCGTGTACATGATTCGCTGAGCTAATTCAAGTTCTTCGGGGCAAGGCACGCCATTTGACAGAGTTGTGGTAATCTGTTGCACGTATTTTTGTGATTTTGTGGGCAACTTCGTTTGTCCTGGGTGAGTGAGGCTTGGAAGTTCTGGCCCAAGCCATCCCATAAGCAGCTTCGCGAGCCTTTTGTCAATGGCTCCCTCGGAAGAAGGTGGTGGTGTGTTCCCCCGCAAGCAGAAGGGCGAAGTGTGGCACTGGCATGTCCGCTTCCCCGGTGCCTCGCACACAGACTTCGTGGTGTCAGTTGGCAAAGATGAGCGGGAGTTCGCAGACACTCTTCTGGGCATTCTCAGATCTCTGGAGCCGAAGATGCATGGCGACAATGCCGAGCTCCGGAGACTTTGCCGGGAAAGGCTTAAGCAACTCCGGCGCAATGGGCGAGAAGCAGATTCCCCCGAAGCTGCGGCGTCCTCGAGCGCTGTTGTAGGGGCCTCCGCCGGATCGAAAGCCGCAGAGCCCGAAGAAAGCATGTCAAAGATAGAACTGGAGTGCGAAGTGTGCTTCGAGGAGTTCAACGACTCGACGCGCGCACCCTTTTTAAGCCGCTGTGGACACACTTTCTGCCAGTCCTGTATGAAAGAGCTCATCGGGCAGCGCAATACGTACGACTGCCCCACCTGTCGGAAGACGTTTGCAAGCAACGAGTGCACGAAGAACTTCTGGATCATTCAGAACTTGCCAGCGCTGCTACAGAGAAAAGCAGCTTCCCCTGCGTCGACTCCGAAGCTGGGCCGGCCAAAAGCTGCAGAGGCTGAGAGAAGCCCGCCGATGAAGAAATCGCGAAAACAGAACCGACAGCTGGAGGCAACAAATCCAAGCAGTAGTCAACTCTTTTGCGGCAGCCGCTCCACAGACCAGACGAGCTTGGATCCGCGTCCAGCAGCGGTCGAGCTGCCTCCTAGCTCACAGGCCCTTCCTCCAGGTTGGGAGCAGGCCATTGACACCCAAAGTGGCGACTCCTACTTTTTCAACAAGTATCAGCAGGTGACCTGGGAACGCCCAGAGTCCCTTCCTGCAGGTTGGGAGCAGGCCATTGACGCCCAAAGTGGAGACTCTTACTTTTTCAACAAGTATCAGCAGGTGACGTGGGAACGCCCACAGTCCCTTCCTCCAGGTTGGGAGCAGGCCATTGACCCCCAAAGTGGCGACTCCTACTTTTTCAACAAGTATCAGCATGTGACCTGGGAACGCCCTCAGTCCCTTCCTCCAGGTTGGGAGCAAGCCATGCACCCCAACAGTGGGGAGACCTACTATTTTCACAGCTCTACCCATGAGACTCGCTGGGAGCGTCCTGCGTAAATGGCCGGCTGCTTTGGCGCAAGAGACATATTATTGGGGTTATAAGTCCCCTAATATGGGTTATAAGTATAGTTACCCTACTTATAACCTTACTTATAAGTGCATTGAATGAGGTACCCTCTCTGCAGGTTCGGGCTTTGAGTCTCCAGGTCTTTCTTGGGAAGGGGTCGCCCAATTCGCAAAAGCCGACAGTCTAACCGAGCCCCATTCGAACCCTTGGATGGATGCAAGACCAACTTCGCAAAGGACGGCGACCCTTTGAGTGCAGAGTGCCAGGTGGTCTTTTTCTGAAGACCATTTTGCTGTCTGGTCGAGGAAACCTAGAATCCTACTTGGAGGTTCATGGGTACTTATAAGTAGGGTTATAAGTAGGGTAACTATAATTATAACCCATATTGGGGGACTTATAACCCCAATAATAACTACCCGTGAACCTCCAAGTAGAAGGGGCTTCGACCCACAGAACATCTTCAATCCGAAGGACTGGGAAAACAAACTGTTCAGACAAATCTTCAAACAGCATGACAGCTTATGGCCAGGTCTTGCCAAATCTTCCCAGGATACCCGTATCTTAAGGCTTATAGTATTCTTATCCCATAAACCCTAAACTATAAGGCTTAGTACTCTTACACCCAGGTTCAAGATGCCACATATTCAGAGCTACAACTTCCAGGACAGGCTGCAAAGGGTAAGGTTCGGAGTTCAGGATTCAGGGGTGTAGGGCTTAGGGTTTAGGGTAGGGCTTAGGGGTCATTGTAGGGTTCAATTAAGTAAGTCCAAGTAGGTTCAGAGGTGTTATTTCATGTGCAGGAGAAGGGCTTGCAGCGGGTTCCGAGTTGTTTTTGCTTTTACGGGAGGGGGCCTGCTTGTGGCCTTTTCTGTATACCCATAGGCTCCATAGTAGTTCCTTTTTTGGATTACCTTACAGGATGCTAAATATGAACCCCTAAAAGGCACTACTGTGCAGCCTACTGTGCAGCCTCTGGGTAATCCCGATACTAAGAACTCGGGATGAGAAGCTGTTGCTGCGACGCTGTTGGGAGCTCCTTAACTTGTAGCTCGTCCTGATGCTGTGAGGTAGGGGCGGCCGTTATGGGGTCAAGGGCTTTGGGGGTCGGGGTAGGATACCAGTTTCATCAAGGGGGAAAAGGAGGGACCCTGAATGGGGACCCCTACCCTATAATGGGCGTTTTAATGGGTATATATACTCGCTATATTAAGGGTATATACCTAGGGGTCCTTATTAAGGGTCCCTCCTTTTACCCTTGGAGTGTCAGGATCTGGCTAAATACGTTTGAACCCTAAGGCGGCATAGCCCAGAGAGTTAGAGTCTTGGAAGCGCAGTTGTATGATTCCTACATAAACTGGACAACATAGATCCAGTGCTCCTCGAAACCATGCTGACGAGGAAGACGGACTTCGATTCACGCGCAAGCTTGGAGCCATGACTTTTAGACCCTAAATTTCTCGCGCGTACAACCCTCAAGCCTGAAACCTTGAAGCCCTGGGCCGTGTAGCTGTAAAGCCCCCGAAAGCAAAGCAACAGCTTGATGTCGGTCGCTGAGCAACGATCTACCAGGATGCCCTGGCAGTGGAAGAGGTGCAGATGAGGAGGCATTCGAAATATCTGCAGAGGAGCGCGGCGACACGGTGTAGAGTTTGTGGTTTTGGGACGGTGTAGTTGGGGAATTCGAATTTGGGAGGCTTCAGGGTTTGGATTGCGGGGTTTGCTTTGGACTTGTGGCTTGCGGATTTATGTTTTCTGCTGATCCTTTAGGCCCCGCTTGAACTTGATGGTAAGATTCGGTAAGATGTACCTTCGGGTAAGCACACTTTGACGTATAAGTACCTATCGTGCCTTGCTGGGCCGTAAGCGAGCATGTTCACAGCATCAGTGTTGTGGCGACGCAGGGCAGACCGAGCCTGTGCCATACGGGTGGACGCTGTCGCGACCGAACAAGCGCACAACTGCTTCGCCCATCTGGGAGTTTTCCGAAAACTAGGGGTACCTTATTTTGTGGTCCTTCTAATAAGGATCCTACTATTTAGGGTACTATACCAGGGTCCCCTATTTTCGGAAACTCCCATCCTGGTGTAAGTGGCAGGGAAATGCTTCGGTTTCCGCTCTCCTTCAAGGCCACGGGCAGGTTTCTGATGCAGGAGCAAGCACGAGGCTGGTTCTGAGTTTGGAGGATTTGTTTCAAGTAACCCTTTGCCACGACAGGCCCTCGACAGTAGAACTCAGAAGCCTACACCCAAAGCCGGGTACCACAAAGCTGAACTAGGGGACTGGCACTAGCTTGTAGCCGTCGAAACCAGACACCCCTAAACTCAAAAACCTGAAGCCGTAGACTAGATCCCCAAGACCAAATCCAACTTCCAAAGTCCTTAAGCCCTCAGTCATGCAAAAAATCCTACACACCCTCAACCACCCCAAAGCCCTAAAACTTCTGAAAACCCTCCTACAGTACCCTGAAGCTAAATCGTAATCCCTGAAACCTTCAGTCGCTGAGACTACCACTAGACTTTAGTGCCACTAAACCCTCAAACCAACCCCCCAAACCTCAAGTCCTCAAGGCCCTGAAGCATCTGAAACCAATCCGCCAAATTTTAAACTCCTACAAAACCCTTGAACCAGTTTAAATAGTATCCGTATTCGCATTAGTATAAATCTGGGAGTTTCCGAAAATTCGGGGTAACATTTTGGGGTCCTTAGAATAAGGATCCTACTCTTAGGGTACTTTACTAAGGTGCCCTATTTTCGGAAACTCCCACCCTGGTTTGTAGTCCTAGGTTCCTTATAAAGCTACCCAATACCGAAAAGGGAGTCCTTTTTTTTCCTAGGTTACTGGGCATCCTAGTACCCAGAGACTCCAATATCCCTCAATTAGGGCATATTCCTTAAATCATAGTAGGACCCCTAGCATGGTTTTAGGTGTATATTCCGTAATTAAGGGATATTGGAGTCTAGGACCCCTAGCATGATTTAAGGTATAGTCCTTAATTAAGGGATATTGGAGTCTCTGGGACTCTGGGAATTACTATTTGGGTGGCTGTCAAAATCACGATCCCTTTTTGGGTCCTTACTATAGTACGGCACCTATTATTGAGGGTACCCAAAAAGGGACCCTAAGTTTGACAGCCACCCAAAGGGGAGTTTCCGAAAATAGGAGACCTTAATATAGTATAAGGACCCCAAAAGGGATTAATAATAATAATAATAGCAATAATAATGATATTTGCGTTGCCCTGCACCCAGGAGCCTCGATCGGGATGGCACCATCAAGCTTGGCCTGGCTCAGCTGCCTGGGGCCTAGGCTTTGGGGGTTTAGGGTTTAGGATTTAGGGTTTAGGGGTTTAGGGTTTAGGGGTTTAGGGTTTAGGGTTTTAGGGTCTTACCCAGGGACTCCAATATCCCTTAAAGAATATACGCGAAATTATAGTAGGATCCCAAATATGATTGGGGGTATATCCCTTAATTTAGGAATATACCTTAAATTCTAGTAGGATCCTTAATATGATTTAAGGTATATTCCTTGATTAAGGGATATTGGAGTCTCTGGGTAAGGGTCCTGGGCCTACGCTTTAGGGCTTAGGGCCTTACGGGTGTTCTATATAAGGGTTTAGGAGTTTTGGTTTTGAGGGTTCCATCAGATTCGGGTTTAGTTTTTAGGGCTGTTCTTTAGGGGTTTAGGGTTTAGTGGGTCCCCAAACTTCGTGTTCTGTACGGGTTTCTATTGGGTTTAAGGAGTTTCGGATTTGTTGGTTCTATAAGGGTTTCTCTAAGGGTCCCTGTAGAGGGTTGAGGGTTCAAGGGTAGGGGTTTAGAGGTTTAGGGCTTTGGGTCTGTAAACGGGTTCCACCGAAGGTTTCCGTGAGGGCTCCAAATGGGTTCGATCATGATTTCCTACAAGGGTTTCTCGCAGTTTTTAGGGTTTACGCCTTGGCCCCAGACCTTAAGCCTTCATGTAATCGGTGCCCCACGAGACTGCGTTTTTTGTTGCATCACCTGCGAGAGAACCAGATCTCGCACGGTCCAGGGAAGCCCGGATCGACTCGTGAGCACTCGAAGGCTCTTCACGGTTTCGATTTAGACTTATAGGGTCTAGGACTTAGCGTACTTCCGGGCATGCGGCATCTTCATGAGGCACTTGGGTCCTTGGGGGAGGTGGGGTGGAGGATTAAACTTGAGCTGTAAGCCCCCAAAGCCGAACTCCGATCCCCCCAAAGTAGTCATTAGACCAACTTTGAAAAGCCAACACAACTTAACTAACCTTTGATATTAGAGGAGCTAAGGAGCCAGGGATGGTGATAATCCCTATTGAATAAGGAGCTAAAGAGCCCAGGGAACCCCCAAACCACTGGTTAGTTAAGGCACACCCTGAACCCCCTTGACCCTACAAACCCATTGCAAACCCTACAGTGTATCAACATGTGAGTGAAGTCGGCTGGGCGAATCTAATTGTTCCAAGCTTTGTTGTATGACAGCTTCAGTGATGAGTCACAGTGATGAGTCATGGTATTCCTCTTAAAAAGGAATACGGAATGTGGATATCTAGAGTGTAACAGAAAGTTCAGATTCTCATCCTGACCATGTCGGCCAGGCGCCTACGCAGTGCTTTGGACTTGGAAGCAGAACTTCCTCAACAAAAACTAAACCGTAAATCTCTCCTCACCGGGCTCAGTTGCCAGTCACTATAAGGTGCCGTCCAGCGGGCGATGACACCGGCCTTGTCCAAATCAGCTCGCAACTCAGAGGTCCAGAGTTTGGGATTTAGGGGTGGAGGGTAATTCAGGGTTCAGGGTTTAAGCGTTTGGGGGTTTAGTGGTTTAGGGTTTAGCGAGGGAGCCCCAACAACTCAACCAAAGCGATTGGTCTTGGGTTCAATGTCGAGGGAACTGAAGCCAAACCCCTGATCTACGAACATGAAGAGAGATCATCCTCAATACACGTTCCAACTCTCTAAGGCTCACTATAGACTCTAGACCCAGTGCAGAAT